TATAATTGAGTCAGGGAGGGAAAAGGGCAGGTGAAAGAGATCATCAATTAAGGAGGAGCAAACAGGCCAGATCATGACAGAAGTAGCACAAGTAGTGTCACCGATTGAGAAGCAGCTCCTGGAATCGCCGCACCGTAAGCAATTCTGAAGGAGTCGGTGGACCAAGAGATGCTGGCACTGTTGTTGGGTAACTCTGTAACTGGCTCTTTGAAATCCAGGTCCGCCATATTGAGTTGAAACTGACAAACAGGAAGAAGCTCCTCTTCCTTGATGATGTGATTTAGTTACCTGGGCGGCGTTTCATCACATTGTTCATTTGAATTATTTGCAAGAGAGGCGGAAGGTCAGGTGACTAATGCTCAGGTAAACCAGTCGGAATCTTTGCCACTTTGGTGTAGGGCTGGGCAATTGATTGCATTTGCAATTAAGGTTGCCAACCATCCCTTGAAAACTGGAATCGTTCCATATTTATAAATAGAAGTACCTGTCCCGAATTTAGTGTAAAAGGAACGCACTTATTACTGTCCACTTTTTGCTTTATCCCATATTACTGTGAAAGTTAAAAAAATAGTCAGTAAAAAGCTAATGGAAAATGAAAGGATAGGTCACATTAGATACAAAACTTACAGTAAACTTGTTCCCGGGCCCTTTCCTGCATTGTGACCAATGAGCTGACAACATATACGTAACGATCCAGAATCCCCTCATCCCATTGGTCGAGTCAAGTGTTGCTCACGGCGAAGATAGCGGGAGAAAACAGAGCAGTATGGGGGACGAACTGAGTCATTTTAACGCTGACGCTGCTTTTGGGGGCGGCGCACTTTCTAAAAACAATGCTCCTCCTCCGAAAAAAGAAAAAAAGGATGCAGAAATATACGGAGGAATGGGTGGAAAAAGTCAGCGATGATTAATATAAAGCACACTGCAAATATGCATCTAATTCAATGCAGATTTGGGTCAAATTGTTTTAAAAAAATTATTTCACACAAAAAGGAGAGTAAAACACTAAATTTTTCGCTGCAGCCCTTTAGGCGTTGGTAAAATGCTTGCGCTAGGTTTGTCGCAACAAATAAAGGTAAAAGCGTAGCAGCTAGCACGCAGATCCACGCATGCATGTAGAAATCAACGCTTTTTAACACAATGGTTTAAGTAAAATCCTGGAACAATGGGTAAGCAAGCTTTAAAAAACTGAAAGATTTGGTTGAAACCTTTATAAGCTTGGGATTAGAGCAAAGGAAAATCGAAATAAAATCGCAGTCGCAATTTTGGTTAAAAATACTCGCAATTTTGATTCTTTGGAAAATCGTTCAGCCATGCTTTAGTTTTAATTAACCTCAATGCGCAAGTATTCCTTTAGTTTTGTAAGGAAAATACACTTTAAACTACCTCAATGCGCAAGTATTCCTTTAGTTTTGTAAGGAAAATACACTTTAAACTACCTCAATGTGTGAGTACTCCTTTAGTTTTGTAAGGAAAATACACTTTAAACTACCTCAATGTGTGAGTACTCCTTTAGTTTTGTAAGGAAAATACACTTTAAACTACCTCAATGTGCAAGTATTCCTTTAGTTTTGTAAGGAAAATACACTTTAAACTACCTCAATGTGTGAGTACTCCTTTAGTTTTGTAAGGAAAATACACTTTAAACTACCTCAATGTGCGAGTACTCCTTTAGTTTTGTAAGGAAAATACACTTTAAACTACCTCAATGTGCGAGTACTCCTTTAGTTTTGTAAGGAAAATACACTTTAAACTACCTCAATGTGCGAGTACTCCTTTAGTTTTGTAAGGAAAATACACTTTAAACTACCTCAATGTGCGAGTACTCCTTTAGTTTTGTAAGGAAAATACACTTTAAACTACCTCAATGTGCGAGTACTCCTTTAGTTTTGTAAGGAAAATACACTTTAAACTACCTCAATGTGCGAGTACTCCTTTAGTTTTCTAAGGAAAATACACTTTAAACTACCTCAATGAACAAGTATTCCTTTAGTTTTGTAAGGAAAATACACATTAAACTACCTCAATGTGCGAGTACTCCTTTAGTTTTGTAAGGAAAATACACTTTAAACTACCTCAATGTGTAAGTATTCCTTTAGTTTTGTAAGGAAAATACACTTTAAAGTACCTCAGTGCTCAAGTACTCCTTTAGTTTTGTAAGGAAAATACACTTTAAACTACCTCAATGTGCAAGTATTCCTTTAGTTTTGTAAGGAAAATACACTTTAAACTACCTCAATGTGCAAGTATTCCTTTAGTTTTGTAAGGAAAATACACTTTAAACTACCTCAATGTGCAAGTATTCCTTTAGTTTTGTAAGGAAAATACACTTTAAACTACCTCAATGTGCAAGTATTCCTTTAGTTTTGTAAGGAAAATACACTTTAAACTACCTCAATGTGTGAGTACTCCTTTAGTTTTGTAAAGAAAATACACTTTAAATTACCTCAATGTGCAAGTATTCCTTTAGTTTTGTAAGAAAAATACGCTTTAAACTACATCAGTGCTCAAGTACTCCTTTAGTTTTGTAAGGAAAATACACTTTAAACTACATCAGTGCTCAAGTACTCCTTTAGTTTTGTAAGGAAAATACACTTTAAACTACATCAGTGCTCAAGTACTCCTTTAGTTTTATAAGAAAAATACACTTTAAACTACCTCAATGCGCAAATATTCCTTTAGTTTTGTAAAAAAATTGCACTTTAAACTACCTTAACTGTGTATCCCTTTAGTCATGTAAAAAAAACAATTGAATTTTTTCTTTTTTGTTGTTTTTCGAAGCATATGGTAATCTGACGGCTCTTCCATGTGGTCATAACTTAGTGCAGTAATCCGAATGGGCGTATTACTATGGATATGCTAGCCTGACGTGGTTTGCTGAGCTGATAGAACACCGCCACAGGGGTGGCTAATGATTGGTTTGAGGGGTCTATGGCCCCCCTTGGCCCCCCATCCAGCTACGCCCCTGTTCTTATTGGGCTCAGATTGGGCTGTTACTATCCAGAGGTGACATCTTGCTGTCAGCGCCAAGATTTCCAGTGAATGTGTCATAAACGTCAAATAAAGCTCCAATTAATGGTGGGTTTTCACAGGCTTGCTGCCAGGCTGCATTGTTGTTATCTGTACCTAAATGACAGCAGAATAACCAACACTTCTGTATAAAATGTTTGGCTGGTTGGGATGCAGCAGGTTTTCTTTACTCTTTTGAAAGACGGCCAAAATGTTTCTTTTTTTTCTGTAGAGCTTCTTCCTCTGTCAGTGCTTTAAACTCCTCCAGGATCCTGGGAATAGCAGGGTTTACAGAGGAGAGTTGTAGCTAGGTAACGCCAACATCACCTACCTGTGATGCGTTCAGGAACCTTAAAAAGGGTTGGATTTTTTTTTTATTTGAAATAAAAAAATGTAACCTAGTAATGAAACTTTACAAAACTTTTTAATCAAAAATGGTTTTGAGAGTAACTTTGCTGTTTCTTCAAATTTAATTTGAAATTATATATTTTTTAAATTTAATCATTTGAATTTTATGTTTTAAGGGTTTATATATATATTTTTTTTTTATTTTACTGTTTCATTCTTTTGAACTTGTCTTTTAGAGTTTTCTTTATTTATTTACAATTTTTTTTCAGATTGTGTTTTTCGTATTGCATTGCTTGCATTTAAAGCTCCATAAAAATACTCACTCAAAAGTTTTGTTGCTAACGCTCATGCACACCAAAATAAAATGCTACCTCGCTCCTCTCTTTTCGGAGGAAAACCCGCCCCCTGAAGTGTAGAAATTGTAAGAATAGTATAAAATTTGCAAAGCTCAATATGAAAAACAGAAATTTGAAAAAAGAAATTTGTGCAGTAATATTTTGTTAAAATAATATATATAATATAACTTTAACAGGTAAAGTAACGTAAAATGTATTTAAAGGAAAAGTCCGGTCAGCAAGGAATAACTAATAATTTTCGGTGATTTAATGAATTTGGCAAATTTTCGTTGCGATCACTGAGTCTAGGAGCGGCCATTTTTGCCCAAATATAGTAGCCCCTCCCTCCTGCCATCTTCCAGCAGTGACGTCACGGTGCGGTAAGCCTAGCGCCATTCTCCCCGCTTTCCAAGCTAAATCAATGGGAACTACTAGACACATCTGCAATCAACAACAATTATTGAAGATTTCCAGAGGACTTCACCATTGAAATTCACCAGAGCTATAGTGAAACTGACAATGCCCACGTGCATGGCAGCTGGATGCTGGAATACATCGGGGAAAAGTAAAAAAAAGAGTTATTCCACCTTTCTGATTCCTGATCCTCCACGGACGGGTTGGTCGTTGGATCGCCAACTTGAAGAGGGAGGATTTGCCATCGAACTTCTGGCCAGAGAAAAAACCCGTAATATGTAGCCAACATTTGGAAGAAGAATGTTTTCAAGATGACTTGGATAATAGCGCGTTGTGACAAACACCAGATACAGCACTGGGACTTGATCAACAGCCGATACCGCACCGTGACGTCACTAACCAGTAGGTGGCAGTAGTGTTCTTTGACAAACATGGATGCCTCCAGTAAAGCACATTCACATGAAAATTACTCTGAATTAAAAACACTGATCATTTATTGAACAGGATGGAATCATTTCAGATTTAAAGAACTTTCAGAAGTTTGAATATGAGCGAACTTTTCCGAATTGTTAAACGAAACAAAATCAGAGAAAACGGCAAGCTTTTTTCAAAATTTCTTTATTTTAAAGTGTTTTGCAAAGTTTGAATTCTGGATTGCACTTTTTTATTTCTGTGTTCTTCTCTTTCAACAATAATAGAAAAAAAATCACGACATAAAAATTCCCTCGTGGTGAGGAAGAGGAATTTTCTTGATTTCATCTGACGGATGGACCTTATTGCAGACGCATGTTAGTTTATGGAGTTTTTGCTCCATCGACAGAAAAACGCTGAGTCATTCAAACTTTGAAGGACGCATGACTCATGGATCTTTGTGTCTCCATGGTTGCTGTGCAGGAGCTGTCCTCATCCGTTCATCACGGCGCTGGAGAACCGAGCGGACTGCTGGCCGGCGCTGCTGCTGGAGATCGATGACTTCATCCGCCAAGCCGCTGAACGGTGAGCAGGGCCGCAGCGCAGCTCCTGGAACCCGCTGCTTATTACTCCTATCTCCTCTGCAAATCTTTAAAATGTTTCTGATTGGTCAAAGTTGTTTTTTTTTTTCCAACGCCGCAGGAGTGAAGCCTCTTACATCACCATGCTGGTTCCCTTCCTTCGGTACCTGTACTGTGAACCTCAGAGGCAGTCCCAGCATGCCTTGCTGCGGCAGAGTCTTCTCCGGGTGCTGCTGCCCACGAAAGCAGCGGACAAGGAGCAGGAAAAGGCTGCGGCGGTGTACGAGAGCCTGCTGCTTTGCCTCTGTCAGCTGGTTCCACATTTCCAGGTAAATAAAAAAAAAATGGAATCAATAGAGGAAGTTAGCAGCTCCAAGGATAAAAATAAGTTTGCAATCGGTTGTTGATCTAAAAATATAAAACAAACTTTTGACACAGCTGATCATTTAGATTTAATATTTAAATAGTGGGCAACAGTTTGTAAAAATGGGTGGGCTTGGGCATTAATTGTTGTGTCTCTTTTTCAAAATTGACCTTTAAGAAATTGATTATTTTCCATTTATTTTTTGCAGATCATGTTGACCTTAAGTCTAAAAAAAACGTATGCTTTTAACGAGCACATTGACCAATTAAGGTTTTGTCTTCACTTCTCACTCCAGAGGAGTAAGGAAGACTTGGGACGAAGGAAGGAACGAAGGAAGGAAGAATTGGGAGGAAGGAAGGAACGAAGGAAGGAAGAATTGGGAGGAAGGAAGGAACGAAGGAAGGAAGAATTGGGAGGAAGGAAGGAACGAAGGAAGGAAGAATTGGGAGGAAGGAAGGAACGAAGGAAGGAAGAATTGGGAGGAAGGAAGGAACGAAGGAAGGAAGAATTGGGAGGAAGGAAGGAACGAAGGAAGGAAGAATTGGGAGGAAGGAAGGAACGAAGGAAGGAAGAATTGGGATGAAGGAACGAAGGAAGGAAGAATTGGGATGAAGGAACGAAGGAAGGAAGAATTGGGACGAAGGAAGGAAGGAAGGAAGAATTGGGACGAAGGAAGGAAGGAAGGAAGAATTGGGACGAAGGAAGGAAGGAAGATAGAATTGGGAGGGAGGGAAGAAGGAAGCGAGGAAGGAAGCAAGGAAGGAAGGAAGGAAGGAAGAATTGGGACGAAGGAAGGAAGGAAGGATTGCTACGAAGGAAGGAAGGAGGGAAGGAAGAATTGGGAGGGAGGGAAGAAGGAAGCGAGGAAGGAAGGAAGGAAGACTTGGGACGAAGGAAGGAAGGAAGGAAGAATTGGGAGGAAGGAAGGAACGAAGGAAGGAAGAATTGGGAGGAAGGAAGGAAGGAAGGAAGGAAGGAAGGAAGAATTGGGACGAAGGAAGGAAAGAAGAAAGAATTGGGACGAAGGAAGGAAGGAAGGAAGGATTGGGACGAAGGAAGGAAGGAAGAAAGAATTGGGAGGGAGGAAGGAAGGAAGGAAGGAAGGAAGGAAGGAAGGAAGGAAGGAAGGAAGGAAGGAAGGAAGGAAGGAAGGAAGGAAGGAAGGAAGGAAGGAAGACTTGGGACGAAGGAAGGAAGGAAGACTTGGGACGAAGGAAGGAAGGAAGGAAGGAAGGAAGGAAGAATTGGGAGGAAGGAAGGAAGGAAGAATTGGGAGGGAGGGAAGAAGGAAGGAAGGAAGGAAGGAAGGAAGGAAGGAAGGAAGGAAGGAAGGAAGGAAGGAAGGAAGGAAGGAAGGAAGGAAGGAAGGAAGGAAGGAAGGAAGGAAGAATTGGGAGGAAGGAAGAATTGGGATGAAGGAAGGAAGGAAGGAGGAGGAGGACGGAGAACAAATGTCCTGAATTCACACATTTGACATTTATTTGCTGCATTAAAGCTGTGAACAGAGTGATAAAACATAAAGGTTTTAAATGTGTTTATTTTCTCTGGTAATACATCATTAACCTTTAACACATTATATTTTAGTACGCTTCCTATTTTCAGAGAGGGAAAAACGTCATTTAGTTCTTTTTATCAAAATGAAATTGAGGGCGACCCGAATCTGGATGTGCAGGACGGATCGTGTTTCCGGGACGGATCGGGGTGTGACACCAACAAGCTAACGGGAGCTAGCCTTCTGCTTCTTCTCTACTCCAGGGGCTTTATGTAGAGCTCCCCCTACAGGTTTGGTGGGAGACAGTTCAGTAGATATCGGCGCGGTGCGGCTTATTTATGAGCGTTTCCATTTTTTCCTCTAAAAATAGTTCAATATCTCATTTGTCCTACATAATGTTTGCATGTGTTAAATGAGCTATTCTTAGAGTGTAGCCATCAGTAACCAAAATGTTTTGCCTGCCTGTAGGTGGACAGTGTGGAGGCGGTGCTGGAACTGAGTGGATTCGTGGACATTCTGCTTCAGGGTCTCATGGAAGCTTCTGGAGAGCTCTGGGAGACTGAGAGGGTCCGTCTGCTGGTGCAGCTGCTGTGTGCATGTCACCAATGCCTGAGGGTGAATGGAGACTGCAGACCGCTCCTCAACCTGATGCAACAACTACTGCCTGCATGCAAGGTCAGCTGCACATCGGCTCATAGTGCAGGAGTTGAAACTCTCTTTAAAACCAGTTAGGAACAGTTTAAAGAAGTACCAGCGAGTAAAGATTGAACGCCACCCCTAAAGCTGTGTGTGTTTTTCCAGGTTTGTCCGGTGGATGAGCTGATGATGGGGGTGGCCCTGCTTCTGCCTGAGGCCCCTGCACTTCAGCAGAGCAGCCTGCTTAGACTTGGTAAAACAAAGTCCTCAACATGCAGAAAGAATTCTGTGAATTATTTGTTTCTTATTTACACGTTTACATTTTGTGAATGGAAATTTGAAAAACCTGCAGTTTAGCAGCAATACTGAAAAATATCATATTCGGGCTGCACAGTGGAACAGTGGTTAGCACTGCTGCCTTCTAAGAAGGTTGCGGGTTCTGTGTTTCCAGGCGATAGACATAGACAGCTGGAGATATGCACCAGCGACCCCTGTGCGTGACAAGCATCAATATCACTCTATTCTTAGCTTTTATTTTGTCAAATAGATTTTTTTTCTCAAATTAAGCTGTATGAATCGGATTCTTTTCAAATTTTGTTTTAAAGATCATATTCTTGTGGGGCCCACAGGTGCAAATATGCAGAAAATGAGCTGTAAACACATGTATGATGTAAACTTCAAAACATGCAAGCATGAAAACCTTGAATATAAAAATAAAGAAAACGGATGCAGACAGTAAATGCTGCAAGCTAAAAGAAAATGCTGCAATCACAGGAAGGAAGGAAGGAAGGAAGGAAGGAAGGAAGGAAGGAAGGAAGGAAGGAAGGAAGGAAGGAAGGAAGAATTGGGAGAGAGGAAGGAAGGAAGGAAGGAAGGAAGGAAGGAAGGAAGGAAGGAAGGAAGGAAGGAAGGAAGGAAGGAAGGAAGGAAGGAAGGAAGGAAGGAAGGAAGGAAGGAAGAATTGGGAGAGAGGAAGGAAGGAAGCGAGGGAGGTAGAATTGGGAGGGAGGAAGGATGCGAGGGAGGGAGATGTTGAAGGAAGGGAGGGAGGAAGGAAGCGAGGGAGGGGAGGAAGGAAGCGAGTGAGGGAGAATTGGGAGGGAGGAAGGAAGGAAGGAAGCGAGGGAGGGAGAATTGGGAGAGAGGAAGGAAGCGAGAAAGAAAGGAAGCGAGGCAGGTAGAATTGGGGGGGAGGAAGGAAGGAAGCGAGAAAGAAAGGAAGCGAGGCAGGTAGAATTGGGGGGGAGGAAGGAAGGAAGCGAGAAAGAAAGGAAGCGAGGCAGGTAGAATTGGGGGGGAGGAAGGAAGGAAGCGAGAAAGAAAGGAAGCGAGGCAGGTAGAATTGGGGGGGAGGAAGGAAGGAAGCGAGAAAGAAAGGAAGCGAGGGAGGTAGATTTGGGAGGGAGGAAGGATGCGAGGGAGGGAGGAAGGAAGCGAGGGAGGGGAGGAAGGAAGCGAGTGAGGGAGAATTGGGAGGGAGGAAGGAAGCGAGGGAGGGAGAATTGGGAGAGAGGAAGGAAGCGAGAAAGAAAGGAAGCGAAGCAGGTAGAATTGGGGGGGGGAAGGAAGGAAGCGAGAAAGAAAGGAAGCGAGGGAGGTAGATTTGGGAGGGAGGAAGGATGCGAGGGAGGGAGGAAGGAAGCGAGGGAGGGGAGGAAGGAAGCGAGTGAGGTTAGAATTGGGTGGGAGGAAGGAAGGAAGGAAGCGAGGGAGGGAGAATTGGGAGAGAGGAAGGAAGCAAGAAAGAAAGGAAGCGAGGCAGGTAGAATTGGGGGGGAGGAAGGAAGGAAGCGAGGGAGGTAGAATTGGGGGGGAGGAAGGAAGGAAACGAGGGAGGTAGATTTGGGAGGTAAAGGTTATTTATCTTGCATTTCATTTTCAAACACAGTCTTGAAATATCACAGAATGACATCATAGTTGTGTATAGTAACATGTATATAATTAAATGTATTTGTTCTCCTGCCTCCAGTGGTCTGGAGCAGCAAGTTAGCTTTTTCATTCACTATTTGCATTATTTTTCCCTGGTTGCAGCATTTTTTGTTTGCATTTGTTTTGTTGAAATTTGATTTTTGCTTCTATTTTCAGTTATTCCAGCATTTTTTTTAGTATCCAGCCTTTTTGTTTCTGTTGCATTTTGTCACAAATTATTATCTTAGAGAGGAAAACACAATGGACAGGTTGATTAAGTGACTGTTGCTGTGTGAATCAAATGCCGTTATTTAAGATAAAACATTTCAAATTCAGTTATTTATTTTAGACCAAATAACTTTTTACATTTATATCCCGCTCTGACTGCAGCGCTGAGAGTGACTCCTGGGGAAGCAGGAGAACGGGGTTGGGATGGGGAAGGCACCCCACGGCAGCACCTACCGCTGGAGGACAAGAGTAGGAACGATACGTGCTTTCATCTAAGAGTCCCCAAAAGCAGCCAGTGACACCAGAAAACTCACTAGATTTGTCGCTAGTCAATTTTATGAAACAGAGTCGCTGGAGGGGTCTGAAAAGTCGCTAAATATAGCGACAAAGTCGCAGAGTTGGCAACGCTGAACGGGGGAACCGGGCAGCCAAGGCGGCATTTTTATAAAGGAGGGCAGGACGCACGCTTGGAAAAAAATATAATCGGCGCTTGGAGTGGGTCTCACCTGGGGAGAACAACATCCACTGACCATCTCTCTCTCTCTGTGTCTATATAAGACTGTGGCGAGCCCAAACGACACTGTGGCGGGCAGGAACAGATCAGATGAAGCTACTATGAGAAAAAGCAGAGAGAGCAGAACGTTAGAGGTTGAACTAACAGATTCTGCAGAGTGGGAGAATAGAGATAGAATGAAGCAGAAGGATGAAAAAGGGGTCCCTATGTCCTCCAGCAGTCTAAGCCTATAATTATACTAAAGTGTAACATAGCTGATTTATGCCCCCAAAAATCAAACATTTTAAGATGCAAGCAGGGTTTAAGAAAAAAACTATAAGCCAGTTTATTTTCTTATATGGTACCAAAAAGAATCGAAAGCTGCTTTCACCCCGACTCCTAATGTCGTCCAACAGTCACCATGGTTCTAAAGGTTTGGGTCTGTCTCTAAAGAATCTTTTTCTTTTCTGCAGCGCTGACTTTAGCCCCTGAAGAGGAAGAGTGGTCGCCCTGGCCCAGTCCGGTTCTGCTTCTGCCTGTTTTGCAGCTCCTGTCCTGCTCACAGCTCACCGAGCCGCTGGCCGATCCATCAACGCACGGCTTAAACGAGCGTCTGGCACACAGCTTGTTACGCAGCATCAGCAAACCCACCAAAAAGGCCCGACGGGTAGGCGGAGTCAGGCAGCTTCTCCCTCTGATCTCACCGCTGTTCAGTGAGGGGGGGGAAAAGGTTTTCATTCAATTTAAAACTTTATCCATGAAATAACAATGACGGAAGAGTCTGACGGAAGGTATAGTAGAGGGTTTTGCATATTTTTGAAAAGACTTCTCCACTTTAAAAAAAAAAATAATGCACATGCACAACCCTGTACCCGCTCCTGAGAGGGAACGTCTATTAAGTGTGCATGAGCCCATTTCTACTAGTTTACTAGCAGTGATGTGAAGCGCATTTCTCCAAATAGCCTAACTTTTCCTGTCGAGTAGAAACTTTGGAACCGAAGCATCCTTGCTAAGCTAACCTGTGATTTCAGTGCACGCCATCACGTGAAAGAATCTCCCAAAAACGCTCTGCTCTTGTTTCTCTCTTCTGAGGCCTTCCTTTTCTTCTCCTAAACTTCGTAGACACTTTTTCCTCTTATGACCCCTCAGCCGTTTTCAAAGAAAAGGTGAGCAATGACTGTCTGAAACCGTAATTCACTACTGAAAAGTTCACATGCACGGCTAACTGGGGACGAGCAGCTAGGACGGCCTTACGTAAACATGTCACCAGAATGATTGACAGTTAGGAGGACCACTTACCTCCTCGCCTCCCACAGACGGGAGGCCGGCTTGTTTCTTTGTTGTTGTTTTTTTGTTTGTTTTTTTATTTAGAAAGACAGATTTCCATCACATCAGTAATCACAGCTTCATCCATTTAAGATTATAACTGAAGATATAAGCAGAAAGTCCAAGTGATTTTTTTTCCATGTTGCCTTTCTGGTATTTTTAACAGAATATCAGTAACTTCATTGTAAAGATAACAAAGAATGAACAGAATTAAACAGTAATGGGGATCGCACCGCCTCGAGTTATAAAAACCACAAAGACATAAGAGGGCAAGACGTATTTCAGAAGAACAATCAAATGAAGTCGGATCTAATTGGTTTCACGTACTCAGTCCATTTGGACCAAATCTTATACAATTTTTCTTTTTCTAATTGGAGGGAAAAACAGATCCTTTCCATCACATAAATCTGGTAAACAATTTCAATCCCGGGGCAGGCTTGTTTTGTTTTTATGACCGCCATTGCGGAAAAAAACTCGTAAAGATGGACCCGCTAGAAGAGCGAGGTGCGTGAGAACGCGGGGACCCTTTTTCCACCTGGATCCCCACTCTTTTTGGCCCTCATGTTCCTCCGTTGTCGCACAAACTTGCCTTCCTCACCGCCTCGGCCGTATCTAGACCCACGGCTAGTTACCGATTTCCTCTCGCGTTGTGGCGTGGAATAAGATGACCACGCTTCAATATTGGGCATAAATCAAAAATGTCTGCGACACGCTCACTGCGACACACTGCTGCGGGACGACAACCAGCCATTTAGGCTACGTTCACACAGCTTAAGTGTCCCGCATGCGCAGGAGAGGACGCAATGACGTCACAAGCCAGCGTGCTTCGTGTTTACGGAAGTAAACATTAATTTAGTGCTGGAGCGAATGTAGAAGTTTCCAAACCTTAAAACCTCAATCTTTTCAAGATGGTAAAAAAGAAAATACTGCTCTCCGCATCATCGTCCGCCATGGTGTTTGTTTTTCTTGCTGCTTCGGTGTAGCAAGAAGCAGAATAGTGACCTATGTCGGTTACTAATGGCGTTCAGGTCGGATGAATGCGACCTGGCCGTTCAAACACAGGTCACATTTGAAAAGATTCTTATCGGATTCAGGACCACAGAGCCAAGCGGCCTGGGTCGCATTGGAAAAAATCGGATCTGTGTTGTTCAGACAGGCATGAAAAGATCAGATACGCATGTTGGCAAAAAAAATCGGATTTTGGTCACTTCAGGCTGCGGTGTGAACATAGCCTTATTTAGATGATCCTCCATTATACCTTTAATTTGAAATCACACAGCCTCCATTGGTAAATCTATGTAGTCCGACAGCAAAGCTAAGAGCAGCACAAATAATACTTGAAGAATATAGAATATGATATTTGCAAACACACATTAGAGATGTCTTTATAAAAAAAAACACTTATTGAGAAAATCCAACCAGAAATAAAAGATGGTCCTCTATACCTTTAAAATTAAGAGAAAAAAAACATTTATAGTTACACAGTTATCTGGAAATTCTGGTGTTTCAAAAAATCATGTAAAAAAAAAAAAAGAAATTCTCAACAAAAGTTGTGGTCTCACCCGGCGCCTAGCTTCCCTTGTCTGGTTAGGAATGATTGCATTTGTGTCTGTTTGTGCTGCCATAACCTGTGGGCGAATTACATCTCCATAGTCTTTGGTTACATACGTTGCCATGGTAACTCAGCAGCTGATACCAGTCACTTCACTAATCTAACCCGACTTCAATCAAGATATTAAAACATGCATTTGTAGTTTTAAATCATACTGTTTCCATATTATGACGTTGATAGATGCTTTTTTACTGTGGAAAGGGGAGACTTTTATTTTGAAATTTGCAGTAGCGTCTGTTTTTGGTCGTCTAATTTTCAAAAATGGCTGAGTTTCGGCTTAAATTTATTGCCCGGTTTAGTCTTCAGGAACATAAAAGTCTGTCAAAAGTCTTAATGCCACTAAAGTCATTTGTTATTAATGGTCTATTTTAAATGTAAAGGAGCAGAAAAGGCGGTTAAAGCTCTGGAAACAGACACCATGTGAACAAAGCAGTTCATTTCAACGGTGAAAGCAACATTGCTGTTGATTGAACTGAATAATTTGTTAAATGAAACATTTTTATGGATTAGTCTGCATTATACGGAAGAGGAAAAAAAAAAAAAAGTTAACTGATATTTAAATTTTATTTCAGTTTAGCATGAGAAAAAAGTCAGAATTCTGAGAAAAAAGTCAGTCAGTCCTGGATCTTCCCCGGGGCCTCCCCCCGGTGGGACGTGCCCGGAACACCTCACCAGGGAGGCGTCCAGGAGGCATCCTAAACAGATGCCCAAGCCACCTCAACTGGCTCCTCTCGACGTGGAGGAGCAGCGGCTCTACTCTGAGTCCCTCCCGGATGACCGAGCTTCTCACCCTATATCTAAGGGAGAGCCCAGCCACCCTACGGAGGAAACCCATTTCGGCCGCTTGTATCCACGATCTCGTTCTTTCGGTCATGACCATAGATGAGGGTAGGAACGTAGATCGACCGGTAAATCGAGAGCTTCGCTTTTTGACTCAGCTCTCTCTTCACCACGACGGACCGGTACAGCGCCCGCTTCACGGCAGACGCTGCACCAATCCGCCTGTCGATCTCCCGCTCCCATCTTCCCTCATTCGTGAACAAGATCCCGAGATACTTAAACTCCTCCACTTGGGGCAGGACAACCCCCCTGACCGGGAGAAGGCACTCTACCCATTTCCGGCTGAAGACCATGGCCTCGGATTTGGAGGCACTGATCCCCATCCCGGCCGCTTCACACTCGGCTGCGAACCGATCCAGCGAGAGCTGCAGATCACGACCTGATGAAGCCAATAGGACCACATCATCTGCAAAAAGCAGAGACGCAATCCTAAGGCCACCAAAACGGATCGCCTCAACACCTTGGCTGCGCCTAGAAATTCTGTCCATGAAGGTAATGAACAGAATCGGTGACAAAGGGCAGCCCTGGCGGAGTCCAACTCTCACCGGAAACGAGCCCGACTCACTGCCGGCAATGCGGACCAGACTCTGACACCGGTCATACAGGGACCTGACAGCCCGTATCAAAGGGCCCGGCACCCCGTATTCCCGGAGAACCCCCCACAGGGCCCCCCGAGGGATACGCTCGAACACCTTCTCCAAGTCCACAAAGCACATGTAGACTGGTTGGGCGAACTCCCATGCTCCCTCCAGGACCCTGCTGAGGGTGTAGAGCTGGTCCAGCGTTCCACGACCACGACGGAAACCACACTGCTCTTCCTGAATCCGAGGTTCAACTATCCGACGGACCCTCCTCTCCAGCACCCCCGAATAGACCTTGCCCGGGAGGCTTAAGAGTGTGACTCCCCTGTAATTGGAGCACACCCTCCGGTCCCCCTTTTTGAATAGGGGGACCACCACCCCAGTCTGCCAATCCTTGGGGACTGCCCCCGATGTCCATGCAATGTTGAAGAGTTGCGTCAGCCAACACAACCCTACAACATCCAGGACCTTGAGGAACTCCGGGCGGATCTCATCCACCCCCAGGGCCCTGCCACCGAGGAGCTTTTTAACCACCTCGGCGACCTCGCCCACAGAGATTGGAGAGCCCAGTCCAGAGTCCCCAGGCCCAGCTTCCTCAATGGAAGGCATGTTGGTGGGATTGAGGAGGTCTTTGAAGTATTCCGCCCACCGACCCACAACGTCCCGAGTCGAGGTCAGCAGCACACCATCCCCACTATAAACAGTGTTGGTGCTGCACCGCTTCCCCCTCCTGAGACGCCGTATGGCGGACCAGAATCGCTTCGGAGCCGTGCGGAAGTCTTTCTCCATGGCCTCTCCAAACTCCTCCCACACCCGAGTTTTTGCCTCAGCAACCACCGAGCCGCATGCCGCTTCGCCCGCCGGTACCCATCAGCTGATTCCAGAGTCCCACTGGCCATAAAGGCCCGATAGGCCTCCTTCTTCAACCTGACAGCATCCCTCACCGGAGGTGTCCACCAACGGGTTCGAGGGTTGCCGCCACGACAGGCACCGACAACCTTGCGGCCGCAGCTCAGATAAGCCGCCTCGACAATGGAGGAACGGAACATGGTCCACTCGGACTCAATGTCCCCCACCTCCCCCGGGATGTGTTCGAAGTTCTGCCGGAGATGGGAGTTAAAGCTCCACCTAACAGGGGACTCCGCCAGACGTTCCCAGCAGACCCTCACAACACGTTTGGGCGTGCCAGGTCTGACCGGCATCCTCCCCCACCACCGGAGCCAACTCATCACCAGGTAGTGGTCAGTGGAAAGCTCAGCACCTCTCTTCACCCGAGTGTCCAAGACATACGGCCACAAGTCCGATGAAACGATGACAAAGTCGATCATCGAACTGCGGCCTAGGGTGTCCTGGTGCCATGTGCACATATGGACACCCTTATGCCTGAACATGGTGTTCGTTATGGACAATCCATGACGAGCACAGAAGTCCAACAACAGAACACCACTCGAGTTCAGATCGGGGCGGCCATTCCTCCCAACCACGCCCCTCCAGGTCTCACTGTCATTGCCCACGTGAGCGTTGAAGTCTCCCAGCAGAACAAGGGAATCTCCAGGAGGGGCACCCTCCAGTACCCCCTCTAAGGACTCCAAGAAGGGTGGGTAATCTGAACTGTTGTTCGGCCCGTAAGCACAGACAACGGTCAAAACCCGTCCCCCCACCCGTAGGTGGAGGGAGGCTACCCTCTCGTTCACCAGGGTGAACCCCAACTTACAGGTGCCGAGATGGGGGGCAACAAGTATGCCCACTCCTGCCCGGCGCCTCTCACCGTGGGCAACTCCAGAGTGGAAGTATGTCCAGCCCCTCTCAAGGAGACTGGTTCCAGAACCAGAACCATGCGTTGAGGTGAGACCGACTATTTCTAGCCGGAACCTCTCAGCCTCACACACTAGCTCCGGTTCCTTCCCCACCAGCGAGGTAACATTTCACGTCCCAAGAGCCAGCTTCTGCAGCCGAGGATCGGACCGCCAGGGTCCCCTCCCCCGGCCGCCACCCTAATCCTCTTCCGTATCTTTAAGCTTCCAGCTGGAACAGCATCCAGGGAGGCAGCAGGGGGCGGATGATGCTCTGCTGATTCGCTCCCCTGTTTTTAGAAGCGATTAGTAACAGAGGGCTTCTGTAGAATAAGTGACTGATTTAGGGTGAACGCCACGCTTTTCAAGGTTTCTGTTTATAAAATGTAACATTGGGTAACATTTAAGGACCAGAAATTTCTGGTATTTTTATGGAAAAATATTAAAACAACCAAAAACATAATAGAAAGAAGAAAATGTTTTTTTTTAGTAGCTCTTTTTCATGTTTCATGATGCGTTTTCATCTCTCCTGTTCCGATCCTCAGCCCGGCCCAACATTGGCGCTCCCTCTCAGCTCCTGGTACTGGGAGCTCAGCGCGGCGTTGTCCATATTGTTCAAAGTCGATGATGATCCGTCCGCAGCCACCGATTGGCTGCTGGCTGTGACCTCGGGCCTACCGTCCAGCCAGCGTCTGTCCTCGTCCCTCGCACTCATCGTCACCTACCTTCTCATCACGGCGCGGGAGGACATCTGTCTGCTGGCACTGAAAGCAGTTCAGACCATCGCTGCTGCCGACCCCTGCCAGGTAGAACATCTCAACTCTTTTATTTTAAAGTCAGAGCTATCAAAAGTATTAATGTTTATTACTCAAGAAGAAGAAGAAATCCCTGCTGCTTAAAAACAAAAACAAAAGATAGTTTGTAGAAGATACAGTATAAACTTAAGATGTTTACTCCAGTAAAAGTATCACTTTAAAAACTACCTATAGTATAAAAGTAAAAGTAAAGCAAGAAAAAAAGTAAGGACAGATTTGGTGGTATTGGTATCGGCAAGTACCAACCAATAGGGTACCGATACTATTTGGAGAGCCAAAAGTTTATTCAACTATTGTCACCCATTATAATCACATAAAAGTTGATGAATTGGGAACAAAAAGTATAGTCAGACTGACTTATTTAGTTTTATTTGTTTTCATCCAGACACTCTGATAGCTCAGAGTGAAAAACATTGATCCCAGACTGTTCCCTACATCCAGTCTGTTCCTCGGCTTGTTTTGGATGTGTGTCTAAGCTGACAGTGAACTTAAATATGTGAGAAAAACATACTTTTTGGTTGATAAAAGCTTGTTAAATCTTCAGCTGGCCTGAAAAATTTCCCAGTTCCTGCCATCTTCCAGCAGTGACGTCACGGTGCGGTAAGCCTAGCGCCATTCTCCCCGCTTTCCAAGCTAAATCAATGGGAACTACTAGACACATCTGCAATCAACAACAATTATTGAAGATTTCCAGAGGACTTCACCATTGAAATTCACCAGAGCTATAGTGAAACTGACAATGCCCACGTGCATGGCAGCTGGATGCTGGAATACATCGGGTAAAAGTGAAAAAAAGAGTTATTCCACCTTTCTGAATCCTGATCCTCCACGGACGGGTTGGTCGTTGGATCGCCAACTTGAAGAGGGAGGATTTGCCATCGAACTTCTGGCCAGAGAAAAAACCCGTAATATGTAGCCAACATTTGGAAGAAGAATGTTTTCAAGATGACTTGGATAATAGCGCGTTGTGACAAACACCAGATACAGCACTGGGACTTGATCAACAGCCGATACCGCACCGTGACGTCACATACCAGTAGGTGGCAGTAGTGTTCTTTGACAAACATGGATGCCTCCAGTAAAGCACATTCACATGAAAATTACTCTGAATTAAAAACACTGATCATTTATGGAACAGGATGGAATCATTTCAGATTTAAAGAACTTTTAGAAGTTTGAATTCTGAATATGAGCGACTTTTCCTTTAATTTAAGGAGTCTCTAAATGTTGACCCCCATCACCCTAAATGTCCACTGCTTCTCAGAGGAAACTATGTTAACCCTTCCATAGAATTTGGACCCGCCAAAAAATCTATAAAACCATCGTTTTTGTTTCAGTAAGATGAAAACTTTTCTTCTGCGCCGCTCTAGCTGTGCTGATGATGTCATATTTTGGGAAAAGGATTGCTTCGATTAAAACAGTCATAGCGCCGACCTTTAAGGCGTCTATTAACTGACCGGGCGCCGTGGGGCTCCCAGTCAACATCGCGCCGCATTTATGATGCAGAGGTTTAGTTATTCTTTTATTCTGTACCAGAGGTCACCATAGCAACCGCTGCCTTGATCTTAGAGGTAATGGATCTTTGATAATGAGCATCTGCTTCTGTCTTCGCTCTCCTTAATCGTAGTCTAACTTTTGAACATTTCTGGAGTTTGAGGGTTTTAATCTCATGACCAAACAATAAAATCCCTCCAGCTCCCGAATCCTCAGCAGAGGATGAACTGAGACATTTAAAGGAAAAAGGGGGTTTCCTTTCCGCCCCTCGGGATGTAAATGGAGTCGCTAGATGCTGTAGATGATGGCTCCTCATTACTAAGGCTTCTAAGACGCCTCCAAGTGTTCCCCTGCTGCTCTAATTGCTCCCAAAGTGCAGCTCTGGGTTGGAGGTTTGGCGCGTTGGTAGAAGGTTATCGTCATATTTTACTGGTTTAGATGATGGAGGCTACAGAGCAGCTCTTTCTGCAGGTGCTGCGATGCTGCAGAGGGTTTCTTCCTCTTGTCTTTGACTTTTTTAACCATATTGTGAAACACAGGAAATGAAAATAAGTTTGACTTTGAATGCAAACCTGCATTTCTAGCCTCTCTGCTCGTCTTTTTTTGTCCTTAAGGTGGAATAGTTGCTATGCAACAGCCGAGGTGCATGAAAAGGAGCGATGCTGTTATGTAGATTCGACGGTTTTACTGCAGAGCTTTTGTGACTCTGACTTTTAACCCCCGGTTTGGCGTCATTGTTTGGTGAAACCTGTCATTTTGAAGCTGTATAATCGGTCACTGTTTAAACCCGGCTGGTTCTGAGACTTGGCACCCACAGCGCACCCTGCTGGAGGTACTATGATGCTGCACCAGGCTGCAGGGGCCAGAGCCCAAGTTTAGTCCTCAGAGGTATAAGCCTGCTTCAAGGTGCATCCCTGAATAAACCAGTAGCTCATTAACAGAGAAAATTCAATAATACCGAAGTTGGGTTTCAGGGAAAGTTTAATTTCCTCTGAAAGGAAAAGTTTGTCTGTTTTCCCTCCTGTGTTCTATTCGTTAAAATAAAGAGTCTAAAGTCTCTCCTGTGTTTGAAGGTCCCTTCCCTGCTTCCTGTCCTGCTGTTCAAACTGTCGAAGGAAACAAACGCAGGTTCGATTCATGCTGTGCTGAACTGCCTGCCCAACCTCGGCACTCATAAGGTACCGGATGTTTACTGGACGTCTGACCGGCGAAGTGAAGGCGTTTTTTTAAACCTGCTGAGTTCACGTGTTTTGTTGCAGCTTTGCGTCCCCATGGTGCTGCAGACTCTCCACATGCTGGCCAGTTCCCCCAAGCTGAGAGCCGTCGCCATGCGCCTGATGGCGGCTCTCTGGAAACGACAGGTGAGCAGCAAGACGCCGGTCATACCGGTGAACATAGATCGTTTTCATGTTTTTTCTTCCTTCCAAAGGACCGAGTCTACCCAGAGCTGCAGCGTCTGCTGAGCCAGCAGGATACCAGAGTGCTGGTGGGGAAGGACGCCCAGTGGGAGCAGATCCTGGCCAGAGCGGCGTGCATCAGGGATGTCTGCAGAGAAAGGTCAGTCTGCTGGTTCGTTAAAGCCGACCGTGTGCAGCCGTAAGAAGAGAGAACCAGGCGCTGCTAACTCCTCTCTGTGTGTCTCAGGCCCTACCAGCATGGAGGCGACATGCTAGCCGCTATCTCACTCACCCTGCAGCAGTGCAGCCGAGCCGACCTGGCCACCCCTGCTGCTCTGGTCCTGCAGGGCTTACAGGAGCTTTGCAGAGCAGAGGTGACCCTCCTGTGCAGCACATAATCTTTCTCCTCCAGGATGATGGTCCCTGTGTTTCCTCTGTAAGGCAGAGGATCATAATTCTGCCTGAAGTGATGCCAGGTTGTGTGTTTCTCAGGTGGTGGACATTGTTTCTACATGGAGAAGCCTCGCAGCAGAACTGAGGCGAGACTCCCGTCCAGCGATGGTTAAAGCCATAGCAGAGCTGCTGTCTTTGGTTCCTCAGCTTGCAGTCAAGTCAGAGGAGTATGAGGTACTTCTGCTGCTTCTCTCCTCCTTTCTCCATGCAAAGATGGATCTTTTTAGGGAAACCTGCTGTTTCTGTCAGGCTTCATTGACATAAATGGATTTAGCGTTTGTTTTCTAAGTGTTCCCTTAAAAGAAAAGAAATAAAAAAAAAAAACTATATTTGGGCCATTTTTGCCCAAATATAGAAGCCCCTCCCTCCTGCCATCTTCCAGCAGTGACGTCACGGTGCGGTAAGCCTAGCGCCATTCTCCCCGCTTTACAAGCTAAATCAATGGGAACTACTTGACACATCTGCAATCAACAACAATTATTGAAGATTTCCAGAGGAGTTCACCATTGAAATTCACCAGAGCTATAGTGAAACTGACAATGCCCACGTGCATGGCAGCTGGATGCTGGAATACATCGGGTAAAAGTGAAAAACGGACGGGTTGGTCGTTGGATCGCCAACTTGAAGAGGGAGGATTTGCCATCGAACTTCTGGCCAGAGAAAAAACCCGTAATATGTAGCCAACATTTGGAAGAAGAATGTTTTCAAGATGACTTGGATAATAGCGCGTTGTGACAAACACCAGATACAGCACTGGGACTTGATCAACAGCCGATACCGCACCGTGACGTCACTAACCAGTAGGTGGCAGTAGTGTTCTTTGACAAACATGGATGCCTCCAGTAAAGCACATTCACATGAAAATTACTCTGAATTAAAAACATTTATTGAACAGGATGGAATCATTTCATATTTAAAGAACTTTCAGAAGTTTGAATTCTGACTCTCAGGCGCTCTGGTTGTTTGTCTGCTCTGTTCTGTAGCTTCAAGCTAGAGAGCAGATTTGCTTTATTTACTTTGAGTTGGAAAAATAGATTTAACACATTTTTAAGTGAGAAAATCCCCCTCCAAACATCCTCTGTTCATCAGGATTATGATCCCACTAAAATATGCAGTTCTTGTTGGGAGCTCCAGACCTCTAGTATACAAAACTTGCGTTCGTAGCGGCTGGAAGTGAAAATAAAAAGTTTTTTTAAGGTTTGTGGTAAAACCTCCAAGAATATACAATCGAATATTTTTCATCGACAGGTTTTAACATTTCTATGTCATTTGGGTATTTATAAACTGTTTACCAATGGTTCTTAAAAAAATGTTTTAGTGCTGGGACGCCTATGGTGGCGCTGTGGTGAGCGAGCACGACCAGTGTACGGAGGCCTTAGTCCTCGACGCGGCCGCCTCGGGTTTGAATCCGACCTGTGATCCTTTGCCGCATGTCTCTCCCCCTCTCTCATACCCACTTTACCGTCAGCCTACTTTAGAAATTAAATGCCTAATGCTACATTCGGACCTCAAACAGCAGAAGCAGCAGGTTTCCATACAAAGTCAATGGTTGACGCACATCAAGACGCATGTAAAGGTCCTGCAGCAGCTGCTAGGGTTGGAAAAATATAACTTTAGCTGCTGGAGGTGCCGCATCAACCAATGAGAGAAGCTGATCTGGGAGCTGGCAGGGAGTCAGACGCAGCACTGCTGATGCAGAGCGCTATGATCACTCCTCTGAAACAGTTTATTAACGCCTAAATTAACTAAGAATGTAGAAACCTGCCGGCAGAATATGTTGGCTTTTATCATCCTGCTGCCTGCAGTTTGTAGCACAGACCTGAAAAACGCTAACATCTACTTCCAGCCGCCACCAACAGGAGGGAAAAACCCTGGAGAGGCGAGCGGGCCTGAGGCAGCTGCTGCTGGGGATTCCCAGTGACAGCGCAGCGCCGGTATGTGGGGGTCTGAGCGGCTCCCACAGAGAAATACTATTTGAAGGCAGGATGGTAATCTGGATGAACTGACTGCACAGACCATGTTTTCAGGAGGACTTTCTCACTTCAACATAGATTCTAACTACTTTCTACCCGCTGATCACAGCTAATATAGCTGCCATTGATCCAGGCAGAGAAAGGATAGGGTAGATCTGCCCAACGCGCATCAGACTAAATTTTTTCGACCATGCAGCTAGCTTCAGCCGCGCGTCAGAACTAAACTTGTACAGCTATCAGTGCAGCTATAATGATCAGAGCTGTTCTCTGTTCCTTCTACATAGTAATCCATTCTACCGGCTCTGGAGTTTAACTCCTTGATTTTTATTAATTTTTCATATGCAGAATGTCTGCAGAGGCTTGCAGGTAGGGTTGTCACGATACTAAACTTTTCAACTCATTACCGATACTAAGTAAAATATTTGATACTCGATACCATTTTCGATACCACAAGGATAAAAACAAAGACTCCAAAATTCTACAGAAATATTTTCATTAATAAACAAAATACAACAAATAAATACAATAAACAATAAGAACAATATTTTGAGGTTGTGTTCTTTGCACAATATTAAGCAAGCTTAATAAAAAACTTATAAACTTGCACACATAACAATGAAACTAGCCAAACCGGTTAAGAAACAAAAATCATTCTCAGCAGCTGCAACTGTTATAAAAAATGTCTGAAACTGAAAAGTGCGTAGAATTATTCAATCAAACAGTGTTCAGAAAGTGCATTTTCCACTATTCTGCACTTCAGACACTGTATGGATACTTTTGAAAATGAGTATTGTATCCGGATACAACGTTTCAGTATCGATACTTTTTTTTAGTATCGATACTTTTGGCAACCCTACTTGCAGGTGATCTCTGTCTCCTCCAAAAAAAAAAAAAAAACCCTCCAGGATCAGCTATTCTAATTGGAAAGAGTTCAATTTACTGAACTCCAGCATCGGACACTTGAATGCATCACTCCTGGCGCTCAGACGCTCTGCTGGACCTTTTGACTCCGTCCCTCATAGACATTGCATGTGAATAAGATTCTTTGACGCTCAAAAGCCGCCAAGTGTGAACGCACCATTAGTGTCCTCATCACTACTTTAAAATCCACCAATCACCCGCTCTGATTTTAATCTGAGATTTTTTTCATTCTTTAGCTCTGATGTTCTTTGGAGGGAATATTTGTTTTAGTTATTCCAAAAAAAAGTTTTTAGAAAAAAAAAGCAATCCACTGGACTTTTTCCCCCAAGTTTGAAGACGTTTCGCTTCCCATCCAGGAAGCTTTTTCAATTCAAAAAGTTAAAGGCTTAATAGAGTGGAGCAAAAACATTTGTAGTTGGATTTTTATTTATTTTATTGATCAGATATGGATTCAATTAGGGCTGCAACAACGAATCGATAAAATCGATAAAAATCGACTTTTAAAAGCGTTGGCAACGAATTTAATCATCGATTAGTTGTGTCGCGCGATTAATGCGTCATCCGCCGCCGCCGTCATCCGGGGGAAGAAAAAAAAATATGGCGGAGCGAGTCAGCGCCGCAGTTGCAGTGTTGCCAACTCAGCGACTTTTCAGACCCCTCCAGCGACTATTTTTCAAAAAAGCGACTAGCGACAAATCTGGCGACTTTTTACGGTGTCACTGGCGGCTTTTGCGTGCCGTGGGGCGCCTCCCCCATCCCAACGCCTTTCTCCCTCTCCCACAGGAATCCCTCTCAGCGCGGCAGTCAGAGCCGCAGGATTTTAGTGAGGAGTTTACCCTCAGCGTCCAGACTGCAAATGAAGCGCGCATGCGCCGGGATTGACGGCGCAAATTGATCACAATAATTAAAATAGCCTGCGCTTTGTAAAGTGAAAAAAGTGATAACATGCAACTTTTTTCAAAAGAAATTAACATGGCACGGAAGCACCACTGTTATGACGCAGCACCTGAAAAGAAAACACTTTGGAGCCTTCGATGGCAGTGAAGAGAGCTGATCAGCAGGATGAGTAACCATGTTTGTTTCATTTTAAAGAGGGGAAACGTAACGTTAGTTTCTCAGGTAGCTCATCTGATGCTTTCCTTACCTTGTTAGTAGGTTACAGACAGGGATAAGGTTGGCTACTTATTTTACTTTTAATTTCATTTACATTTGTTTAAGCAGCGTTTATATTTTCTTTATAAATAAATTAACTTGCAAATTATGAGGGCAAGGCTTTTAAAGTTTAAATCTTCTGGCAAAGATAAAGAAAAGAAGATCCTGCAATTTATGGAAGTAAAGCAGAACAAAATCCAGCAAGATCAGTAATATGTCAATTAATTATTAATTAATAAAATACATAACATAACATACAAATAAACTGAATTGAATTGAATTATCTGCCACATTCCCATGTAAATATCTGTCTTTGGAGGATGTGTTTTTTTACCACCCCTAGTTCTCTCATTTTTATTCCAAATACAATTTATAATTTGAATCACAGGGCTATTTTTATCTCTATGGTTCAGTATTTTCTCAAGTAGCAACTTTAACTGCTATACTTTCCTGTCTTAAAAGGCAGAACTCTTCTAGTCTAAAAAAAACTAATTTCTTGAAATGGGGGGACCTATTGTTGAACCCCTTAGGGGCTTTAAAAAACAAAAATGCCTGTCTCTTTTTGCGCTTTATGAACCAAAGTACCCTATATTTTGTGGATGTACAGCTACATTTCTCATGTAAGTTTGCGTAGTTTTTACACAAACATTTATTTTTCATATTGCACCAGTACAGTTAATGAGCAACCTGTACTTGTGTGCTTGTTTGTTCTGTCTAAAATGTTTATTTTGGAATAAAGAGGTTAATATAAATTTTTTTTTTTTGTCCGATTCATCGATTAATAAAATAGAAAAAATAAGAAAAAATAATCGGCCGATTCATCGATTTTTAAAATAATCGTTAGTTGCAGCCCTAGATTCAATGTTGTTGTTAACTAGAGATGTTCCCCATTATTCTATCACTTCAATCAATCATCAGCAAACTGTGATCCGTTTTTGAGTTTTTTCTTCTAGCTCTACTTTAAAGATTGATTGGTCTGTTTCCCTCCTAGAAACTGAAAGATGAGGCGGTCAGCTTTCTGTGGAGCTACGCTGGAAGCCAGGTCTGTGTCCTCAGTGCCTCTTGTTTAATGGTTTATACCCTTTAGTTCATCTCATACGTTACAGGTTTCACAGCTTTTATTTTTCAACAGTGAAATAATTTAGCCTAGATGTGAAATATTCAACAGCCGTATTACACCCTGTAAACGCGCCTGCTGTATTTCCCCCCTTTAGTTATTGTCCTTCTGCTCTTCCAGGATCCAGAGGTGTCCAGCTGTGGCTACAAAGCTCTGGCAGCTTTTCCTGAAACCACTCACACCATCCTTCACCTCCCAGAGGCAGTAAGAATCTTTCTCCCCTCCATGATAGTTGGACAGGAGGGGCGGAGCTTAAGTGACCCCTCCCCAACCTGCTGATTTATTGTTCCTATTGATACTTTCCAACCTCCAGAACCAGCAGTTCCCCTCTGAAACAGAAGGGGGCAGCAGTGATACTCTCTGGTGGAACGTTCTAGCTAACTGATTTTTCAGTAGGCCTGTAACTAACCATTATTTTGCAAATCTATTAATTTATCGATTGTTTTTCCAATTAATAATAAGATAAACAAAGGTTCATTAAAGTAAATTTTTTAGAGAAATTAAACCGGTGAAAATCAATTTTTCATTTTGAGGAGTTCTGGATAGAGCATATTGACAGACCATAATTTTTTATTTTTTAATGAGAAATATGTTTTAATCTCTATACTCCAGTTAAGGAGTAATCTAACTAGTTGACGATTATTTTAATAATCAATTCATCTGATTGATTGGTTTACCCTAGTTTTTAGTATATAAATAATAAACGGAGAACAAAATTACAGTAATAATTTAAATACTTAAATAAAAATACTGAATTTATAGTCGTAGGGAAGTCATATTTAAATGTCAAATTATTCTGGTTTAAACATGTATATAAATGTACTCTTTATCAGACCATATTGTCCCAAAATTTAGGAAAAATCCTGTCTTAAAATCTGTGTTTTCTTCGTTATCTTCTGCAGGCCAGTTAGTTCTACGTCAGCCTGAACGCCTAAATTCGGCCAATCATATATCAACGGTCATCTGTCAATCAAATGTTTTCGCTCATAGCATCTTGATTCATGTGTCGCAGCTAATATACGCAACGGTTGAAATCAGAATCCTTTCCTTTCCCATTGAGTTGCGTCCCAGTGTTCACGGGGATGGACGTCTGTGTCTTCGGCAGGTGTAGAGCTAACAGAATTATTATTTTTTTTTTTTACTTTATTATCAATTGTTTTTCTTTTGCAATGAAAAAAAAAAAAAGAACATTACAGCCCATAACAAACAAAACAGTCAGAGCATATAGTATAAACGAAAGGACACTGTATCAATTAGAAAGCAACAAAAAATACAGACCAATACAAAACTGTGAGAACGGCAAACACATGGTAGGTGTTAAGTTACAATATCTTCTGGTTTAGATAAAGAACCCATTTAGCCCAATATTTCTCGCACTTATCGACAGCCAGTCTTAATGAGAAAGTCAGTCTTTCCATAATGCAGATTTCCTTGATGATATCCTGAGAAACCATTTGCGGGTTATGGCTTTTTTCGCACCAGCCAATAATTCTAGTAGGAGGTATCTGTCCGGTTTCCTCAGTCCTTGGGGTAGATTACATAGGTAGGATACAGTGAAATCAAACGCTAAGTTCAGGCCCATGACAGTGTTAATTTCTCTTATGAATTCTGTCCAGTAGGGTGCGATCTTGGTACAGTCCCAGAAGATATGGAAATGTCCTGCTGACATACTCCCTCAGTTCCTCCAGCACTGAGCCCTGTCAGGGTCTTTACATTGTTTGCTCTTAATACTAGGTGTGATAAAAAATCGTACCATGTTCTTCCATGAGAATTCACGCCATAAACCTGAGCTGGAAGTAACTATGACCGCGTTACATATATTAAATCAGTCATCATCAGATATTGATATTTTTCCTTTTTCCCATCTAGCCTTTATGTATGTTGTATGATGATTTCTTCCCATTTGTAAACATGAGTATAGTCTGGATATCTGTTTCTTTGGAGCTTTTCCTTTACATGAATTCAGGAGAGCTAACAGAACTGGCAGCGTTGCGAGGCAAGGGCTCAAACATGTACGGCTGGAAGCCTTCTACAACAAACCAAGCTTCTGCCGCCCTGGCGTCCTCTTCCACAACATCTTCCTCCCCGCTTTCCTCCTCTAAATAAAAAAATGGATGACGGAGGAGACTCATCCACGACCTCCGACACTAAACTCTCCTCCTCTTGCATGTTTCCGCTGTCCATAGCGTTCCTTGACAGCGTCGTTTCTTAGGCTACGTTCACACTGCAGCCTGAAGTGACCCAATTCCGATTTTTTTGCCCATATGTGACCTGTATCTGATCTTTTTATGACAGTCTGAACGACACAGATCGGATTTTTTCAAATGCGACCCAGGCCACTTGGATATGTGGTCCTGAATCCGATACGTATCTGATCTTTTCAAATGCGACCTGTGTCTGTACAGCCAGGTCGCATTCATCCGACCTACACGTCATTGATACTTGACAAATGTTACTAAACGTTACTAATCTGCGTCCTACTAAGCGCAGGTGGGAAAAACTAACAACCATGGCGGAAGATAACACAGAGAGCAGTCAATAGAGAGCTCAGTGAGAGCTCTGTACGGACGTTGCTATTACTGCCCCACAAAACGCCATTGCAAGAAATCTGGCTCTCTTTCTTTTTGATCTTCTTAAAAAGATTTCGTTCGTAATGTGCCTGCTCCTGTTGGAGAAGAACTTAAAGAATGCAATATACGCTGCGGTATTACGAGTCATGTTTACTTCCGCAAACACTGAGGACGCTTGCTACATGTGACGTCATCGCGTCCTCGAGTGCGCATGCGGGACACTTCGGTTGAACGCTTTCAGTTCACACAGTAGATCACATACAAGTCGCATATACTTGGAAGTGTGAACGGACATGCAAAAAAATCTGATTTCACAAAAAAATCGGAATTGAGCATTAAGGCCTGCAGTGTGAACGTAGCCTAAGTCACCAATTTAGTGCTACTTGGTCCCAATGGAATTTCCCATTAGGAACCTGCTAGCACTAAGTTGCTAACTGGTTAGCAAGATGCTTCCGACAAACCGGCCACAACCAAAATGCTTGCGAACCTTCCACCACAACAATCCCGCCCCCTTGATTATCGACCAATCACATTCACTTTATCCACCCATGAAAAGTCGGGCACCACTCGAGAGAATTCGGAAATGCAACGTTTGGAACAGCACTCTGGGACGTAACTCAATGGTAAAGTAAATTATTCTTTTTTCTTATTTCAACCGTTGCGTATATTAGCTGCGACATATGAATCAAGATGCTATGACCGAAAAAATTTGATTGACAGATGACCGTTGAATTTAGGTGTTCAGGCTGACGCATAACTAACTAGCCTGCAAAGGATAACGAAAAAAACACAGATTTTAAGAAAGGATTTTTTTTAAGTAGAACTTTGGGACAATATAGTCTGATAAAGAATACATTTATATACATGTTTAAGCCAGAATGATTTGACATGTATTGTTAATATAGTAAAAACTGGGGTTAAACATATAATCAGATGAATTGATTATTGCAATAATCGTCAACTAGTTTACTAATAGATCTTTGCTCTCCTCTAATTTATTCTGCAATCACACGTTTTCTTTCACTCCCAGCTTGGCTTTTCCAAATGACTCTTTTTATTATTTGCCAACTTCTCATAACAAAGCAAAAAGGCAGTCAATCCTTCCTCATTGGCAATGAAAGCTAATTATTCGGTCCGTTCTTCTTTGAATCCTCTGTTCTCATCAGCTATCTTCCTTTTTTCCCGTTTTGGATCCATGGACCGAGACACACCCGCCTTTTTGTTTATAACAGCCACCTGCCTGGCACTGCGCCAACCTGAAACCTCTTTCGCAGGCTCCACCCCCACTTCCTGTCCAAGCAGTTTCTGATGTTTTCTTCTGGTTAACCTTTAGGCCAGACCTGTTGTGAAGATCAGCGAGGGCGAAGATGATGGTGATGAAAAGGATAAAGGAGAAGAAGAAGATCTCTCCATCCCTGGATCGTCCTACATGAAGCTAATGGCTCTGACCTCCACCTCTGCTCTTCCAGGTACATTTATCAATCTTGTGATGCTCTTACACTAAAGACAGATTGATCTGAATTATTTTACTGATTTATTTTTTATTTCGGTCGGTTTTGATTTCAGTTCTAACTGTTAGACACGTTATGCACTAACAGTAAAACATGGTTTGATGTTCATATTGCCTCAGTAGTTCAGAGCCAGTGTATCTGTTAAGGGCAGATTAGACTTCTGCAGCCGCACACATCAAATGTCGCTTGCGTCTGGTCGCCAACCAGTTTTGATGGTATGCTTCTGCACCGTCAGTCTGGAGTTTCTAGGGACGCACAGCAGTTTCCCGCCAAAGCACAAGGGGTGTAAATCACACCCATCATGGCGATTCGATTCAGTATCGATTTCCTGACCCAACGATTCGATTATTTTCGATACTCAAGAATACACCACAATACGATTCGATTAATCGATAATTGTTTTAATTTTTTTTAATTTTGTTTAACCTTACAAGCTAAACAAAGTTTTAAGTTTGAAATAAATCAATGAAAGCTGTAATATCGTTATGCATTTTTTTTTTTTTAGAAACAACAGCAAATAACAGGAGTAGAAAAGTTGCATCAAAAAATCCTGCACATAATCAGTGCAATGAGTGCAATAAAATACCTCCAGACGTCCCGCCCCCTCCACAGACGCTCCGCTGCTCCTCTCCCAAATTGTAGCTGACCGCAGACAGGAGGCCGGCTTGTTTTGTTTTTATGACCGAAATTGCGGAAAACAACTCGTGAAGTTTGACCCGCTAGAAGAGCGAGGTGCGCGAGAACGCTGTGACCCTTTTTCCACCTGGATCTCCGCTCTTTTTGGCCCTCATGTCCCTCCGTCGTCGGACTAAACTCGCCCCCACTTCCTCGCCGCCTCGGCCGTATCTAGACCCACAGCGTGTAGCACAGACCACGCTTCAATCAAAAATGTCTGTGTCAAGCTCACTGCAACACACTGCTGTAAGAGTATAACCAGGAAGCGAGGTAGGAGGGCAAAATAGGTTTAGCGCCACCGCAGCACGGGAGGAGAATTACACCCAGGAGCAAATGGATAAAAATAGACCGGAGGGGAAAAAAAACATGAATCGATTCTCTTGCGGACGTATCGATGCATCGGATCGTCGGCTGTTGGATCGACGCATCGATACAAAACGATTATTATTTACACCCCTACAAAGCACTAGGGGGAGCCTATTCTAGAACTCGCAAGAACTTCGGTGGATGGTCATGAACTTAATTTTTGCCGAGACATTGGCGTCTTAATGTAATTTGTCCGAGGCATCGTAGAAGTGGTTGTACTTCCGAACCTCCTGGATTAACCTTTCGTCGTAGTTCTCCATTGTAGTTGTTCTTTCCAAAAATGGCGCCCGGGCACCGAATCGAGAAGGACGACCACACAGACAGCCGGGAAGGCAACCAAGGACCAATCACAGCTGCTTTTTGTCTGCGCACTTCCGCTTAAAGACGACACGCGTAGTCAAGATTTTTTTGATTTGTGTGACGACGGTTGCAGAACCTCTGCGCGGGGGGCGTGTTCGTACACAGAGACAGATTTGACGGTTGCAGAGTCTATGCGTCAGAAGCATAAATTGTCCTTAAGTCTGTAACCCAGTGGCGGCTGGTGGAGTTTTCTCGAGGGGGGGGCCCATAAATTCAAAATAGATGTATACCAAAAACCGATCAAACGTATACTAAGTTATCACACACCGGTACATTTATATGAATGCCAACAACAAAAAACATTATGAAAACACTTTACATATATATATATATATATATATATATATATATATATATATATATATATATATATATATATACACTATATTGCCAAAAGTATTTGCTCACCTGCCTTGACTCACATATGAGCTTAAGTGACATCCCGTTCCTAATCCATAGGGTTCAATATGACGTCGGTCCACCCTTTGCAGCTAGAACAGCTTCAACTCTTCTGGGAAGGCTGTCCACAAGGTTTAGGAGTGTGTTTATGGGAATTTTTGACCATTCTTCCAGAAGCGCATTTGTGAGGTCGCACACTGATGTTGGACGAGAAGGCCTGGCTCTCAGTCTCCGCTCTAATTCATCCCAAAGGTGTTCTATCGGGTTGAGGTCAGGACTCTGTGCAGGCCAGTCAAGTTCATCCACACCAGACTCTGTCATCCATGTCTTTATGGACCTTGCTTTGTGCACTGGTGCACAGTCATGTTGGAAGAGGAAGGGGCCAGCTCCAAACTGTTCCCACAAAGTTGGGAGCATGGAATTGTCCAAAATGTCTTGGTATGCTGAAGCATTCAGAGTTCCTTTCACTGGAACTAAGGGGCCAAGCCCAGCTCCTGAAAAACAACCTCACACCATAATCCCCCCTCCACCAAACTTTACACTTGGCACAATGCAGTCAGACAAGTACCGTTCTCCTGGCAACCGCCAAACCCAGACCCGTCCATCAGATTGCCAGATGGAGAAGCGCGATTCGTCACTCCAGAGAACGCGTCTCCACTGCTCTAGAGTCCAGTGGCGGCGTGCTTTACACCACCGCATCCGACGCTTTGCATTGCACTTGGTGATGTATGGCTTGGATGCAGCTGCTCGACCATGGAAACCCATTCCATGAAGCTCTCTGCGCACTGTTCTTGAGCTAATCTGAAGGCCACATGAAGTTTGGAGGTCTGTAGTGATTGACTCTGCAGAAAGTTGGCGACCTCTTCGCACTATGCGCGTCAGCATCCGCTGACCCCGCTCCGTCAGTTTACGTGGCCTACCACTTCGTGGCTGAGTTGCTGTCGTTCCCAAACACTTCCATTTTCTTATAATACAGCTGACAGTTGACTGTGGAATATTTAGGAGCGAGGAAATTTCACGACTGGATTTGTTGCACAGGTGGCATCCTATCACAGTTCCACGCTGGAATTCACTGAGCTCCTGAGAGCGACCCATTCTTTCACAAATGTTTGTAAAAACAGTCTGCATGCCTAGGTGCTTGAATTTATACACCTGTGGCCATGGAAGTGATTGGAACACCTGATTCCAATAATTTGGATGGGTGAGCAAATACTTTTGGCAATATAGTGTATATATATATATATATATATATATATATAAAAAAAACATAATTCCATTCATAGTTTGGTGACCAGAGGTCCCTGATTTCTGGGGACAGTCCCCGTTTTGGACCACCTGTCCCCGGAAATGTCCCTAATTTTACAGTTTTATGAATGAGGGGGAAATGTTGCATGTATACTGTTGACTCTTCAGCAATCCCTCACACTAAGCATGCTTGTAGCGACAGTGGAGAGGAAAAACTCCCTTTTAACAGGAAGAAACCTCCAGCAGAACCAGGCTCAGTGTGAGCGGCCATCTGCTGAGGCCAACTGGGGTTTACTATCTGCTCTGGTTCTAGGTTCTGTGGGGCTTTGGGTGATAGAATGCGGCTGTGTTTTTTATGTTCAGGCTTCAAGAGCAGAGGTATTGTCCTGCTGTGTGTGGCTAGCTGCAGTAAAACAATAAGGATATGGATGATAGTAGATGGTTACCCACACATTTCAAACACATCTCCTCTAAAAAGGATATATTGTGATATTATGATTTACTTTATTTAATCTAGATTCCATTCAGCATCAAAGTAGGTTCATATTGATATATATAACCTGTGGTCATTTCTGTGTTGGATGTACAGAGAAGTGTTTGCTGCCAAACATTTTTGTTCCCATACTGTAGAAAAGACGTTTTAGAGTAGAATGTCTTGGATTACACCATCCAACCATTACATCCTCTGCTAATCCACCTCCCTTGATGTTACTCGTCTTTAAATGTTTGCTTTGCCCAGCAGAGAGATGCTGGAGTCTGGGATATGATCTTACATATATGTGACTCTACATTTCTGATATTTTGGTTGGGTTGAGTTCTTGGAGTTCATTCAGTTTGTTTACAATTTCCCATTGTTGATTATGATGAATTAAAGCGATTTTTTTAAAATTTGTTTTTTTTTTCTTTTTTGTTTGCTTTTCTTAGCCTTTGAGCTCTTCCTGACGTCGCTGGTGAAGCAGGAGATGAGTGTGATGCCACGAGGAGTTTATTTCTCTGCTCTGAGGAGCGGCAGCCTGCGATCAGACCAAGGAAAAACGGTTTCTGGGATTCCATCGTTTGTTCTGAAGACTTACGAGAAAAACAAACAGCCTGGCCTAAAGCCAGGGCTAGCAGGTGATTAAACTTTTTTATCTTCAGTCTTTGCAATGAAAACAAACCCACATTTCCCCACTGAGGGACAACAAAGATATTTCTGTTCAATAGCAGGGGTTCTATTGGAATACTGCAAACATTCTAAGTAAGTCAATTTTTCTTAAAGTAAGAGCTTTTTTTCTTGAATTGAGAAGGTGAGACACTTTGCTAATGGAACAAGACAATTTACATTTAAAACAAGAAAAAGCAACTGCAGTTTCTTATTCTTAAGCAACTAACTTGACTATCTAATTATCTTATTTTAAAGTCGTAGAGAAGTCATATTTAAATGTCAAATCATTCTGGCTTAAACATGTATATAAATTTACTCTTTATCAGAAAATATTATCCCAAAAGTTTGTCTTATGCATGTCAGTTATGGAAGAAAAACATTGGAATCTGCCTTTTTTTTAACACAAATTTTAAACACTGAATTTTTTTAACACCTAATTTTAAACACTGAATTTTTTTAACACCGAATTTTAAACACTGAATTATTTTTAACACTGAATTTTTTTAACACCGAATTTTAAACACTGAATTATTTTTAACACTGAATTTTTTTAACACCGAATTTTAAACACTGAATTTTTTTAACACTGAATTCTAAACACTGAATTTTTTAACACCGAAATTTAAACACTGAATTTTTTTAACACCGAATTTTAAACACTGAATTATTTTTAACACTGAATTTTAAACACTGCATTATTTTAACACCGAATTTTAAACACTGAATTTTTTAACACCGAATTTTAAACACTGAATTTTTTTAACACCGAATTTTAAACACTGAATTATTTTAAACACTGAATTTTTTTAAGACCAAATTTTAAACACTGATTTATTTTAACACCAAATTTTAAACACTGAATTATTTTTAACACTGAATTTTAAACACTGAATTATTTTAACAACGAATTTTAAACACTGAATTTTTTTAACACCGAATTTTAAGCACTGAATTTTTTTAACACCAAATTTTAAACACTGAATTTTTTTAAGACCAAATTTTAAACACTGAATTATTTTAACACCGAAATTTAAGCACTGAATTTTTTTAACACCAAATTTTAAACACTGAATTTTTTTAACACCGAATTTTAAACACTGAATCATTTTAACACCGAAATTTAAGCACTGAATTTTTTTAACACTGAATTTTAAACACTGAATTTTTTTAACACCGAATTTTAAACACTGAATTTTTTTAACACCGAATTTTAAACACTGAATTTTTATAACACTGAATTTTAAACTCTGAATTATTTTTATACCAAATTTTAAACACTGAATTTTTTTAGATATTGAATTCCTTACACTCAGTTTTTATCTGGTAAAAATTCACCAGGAAAAAATTCAGCTGCAAAAGTGTTGACCTTTTGGTGAACTCAAGCCAAAGCAATCTACACTCAATAGAGTCTAGTAGCTTCTAGCCAATGAAATTAGCTCATCTGGTCACGTGACACAACGGCTGCGCTCAGCGCTGTTCCCGACTGGATGAGGAAATTTTTTTTTGTTAAACAGATAAAATTATAAAACAACAGTTAGCTACTAACAAACGGCTATTAGAGTTTTTCCTCTTATCAGACTGGGTGAAACAACTGAGCCGATCACAACTAGTACAGCACCCCTGTCCGTTTGCCGCCGCCATGTTGCCTCTGGCTGAAATTAAGGAGAAAAAAAGGTTGCCGCCGACCGCTTCTTCCGGATCAAACCAATAGCATTGGCAGACAGGGGTGATAAAAATGGAGTGTAAGGAATTCAATGTCTAAAAAAATTCAGTGTTTAAAATGTGTTGAAAAAAAAAGGCAGATTCCAATGAGACTGTTTATCTTCTGCAGGCCAGTTAGTTCTACGTCAGCCTGAACACCTAAATTCAGCCAATCATATATCAACGCTCATCTGTCAATTACATTTTTTCGGTCATAGCATCTAGATTCATATGTTGCAGCTAATTTACACAACGATTGAAACCAGAATCCTTTCCTTTCCCATTGAGTTGCGTCCCAGTGTTCACGGGGATGGACGTCTGTGTCTTCGGCAGGCGTAGAGCTAACAGAACTGGCAGCATTGCGAGGCTAATTTAAGTGAGCACATACCTCGCAAAAAAAATTTGTCTTCTTCTTCTAATAAAATCCGGCAGCTCTTACATGCTACACGCTATTCCTGAAGGCTTCAAATAAAACGTCAGGATTAAACTTGACAGCAGGAACGGATTTAGGAAATGTGGGGCCCTAGGCAAAGACAGGCAGGGGGGCCCTCTGAATAGAATAGACATCCATTATCTGTTCTAGGTTGTGTCCCTCTCTTCTTGTCCCTTTTCTTCTTGTTTTCCTCTCTATGTTTTGTACTCAGCTGACTTTTCATGCTGTCTCTAAAGGAATGAAAGATTTTTTCCAAGCACTAAGCTCACTTAGCTGATTGCTCCTTCCTGTGTTTCCAAAAAGGCCAAAGTAAATAACCCAGTCCTTCTTTTCACTGTAGACAAGCCATGATCTGCTTATCTGTTCTCCATTTTTCATTTGGATGAAATAATAGCTGCATGAATCATGACAGCAGACAAGATAGACGATACACCCCTGCTAAAAGAACCAAATTAAATGACTTAATTACAACTTTAGCTGCCATCAGTTAGTTCTTTACAATCTTCAAATCTCTTCTCAAAGGCCTTTTGATTCAGTAATTGGATTAGAGATGTGCGCGAGGAGAGAAGTGATGCATGATGGTCGCCAGCTCAGGAATCTTGTTTCTACATTGGTGTTGACTAGAAGAGTTCAGGCAGAAATGTTTGCAGATGATTGAGTAATTTATGTGAAAAGACGAAGCAGCTGTGCAGAAGGATCTAAAGACGGCTGCTATAAGATGCTGGCAGGTATCTGCATCGTATGGTTCAATAGTTGCATGTCTGGCTGCCATAAGTCACGGTGCAAGTTGGCACCGGCAGGATCCTGCTGATTCACACACAGATCCAGGATTAGTCATAGTGATTAGCCGGATGTTTCATTCTAAAAGATGCATTGCTTAACTTTTTCTCTGGAGGAGCTGTTTTTAGGACACAATGTTCCCTTTAAGTTGTGTTTTAAACTGTAAAAATCTAGAAATTAGTCAAAATATCTTAAATTAAGTGTATTTAAGCAGGTAAATAAGATAATTTGCCAATAGAGTGAGTATTTTTACTCATTCTAAATAAGATAATTAGATAACTTGCTCTTGAAACAAGACAATAAAACTGTTTTTTTCTTATTTTAAATGTAGATTTTCTTGTTCCATTGGCAAAGTGTCTCACTTACCTCCTCATTTTAAGGAAAAAATGACTTAATGACTTATTTAGATTTCAATTCTTTGCAGTTGAAGTTACAATTCCATCAAGCAGGGCTCGATGTCAACAATCGCCCGATATTCCAGGGCAAGTAGTTTTTATTGTTGGGAGAGAACAAATTTCATTGCATTTGCCCGCCGGGCAATGATCGCAAAAAAAAAAAAAATGTATCACTCAGAATTACTTTTAAATCACCGACATTCGATGAAAACGACCCAGAAGCGTTGCCGGCGCCATTTTTGTTGTTTTGTACTGGCGTGGTTTGAAAAAGACGCGTGATTTGAAAAAGCCGCGTGATTTTTGTCCAACTAGCGGTAATTTTAATGTAGTTACCAAAACAAGAAACAAGCTAGAAAGCGCTATCATATGAAAGTCTTCTGTACAGTGATGCAGGTCATAGGAACTATACTTATCAAACATTATACTGGGCAAGTAAAGATTGTTTCTGGGCAAATGAAGTGTAAAAGTCACTTGCCCTTTGGGCAAGTTGTAAAAATCCTTAAGGTCAACCCCTGTCAAGATGTCAGGCAGCCAAAACAAGAAGGTTCTGGCATTAAAGTTTCGCACTCATCCAAAAGATAACATTTGCCGTTCTCTCTGTGTTTCAGCTGGACTGCTGCTCTGCTACGAGCTCCCCGTGCAGACAGACCGCAGCGGGAAGCCGTTCGACCGCTTCCTCGTGAGCCGGAGCCGCAGCTACCAGCAGACCCTGATGGCTCTCATTCACGAAGTATAAATCCCTCCCTAACTTCAGAGACCAGTGCTCTTTGGTTTGACTAATGCTACGTTCACACCGCACGCGCTTTGAGCAGCAGAATCAGGAGGTTTACATGCAAGGTTTATGGATGACGCGCATCAAGGCGCATTAAAATGTCCTGCACTGCAAAAAATCAAATAAAATACCTAAATTAAGTGTATTTACCCTTAATCTGAGTAGGTAAATAAGATAATTTGCCAATGGAATGAGTGATTTTTTTTTATCTTAACAACTAGATATTATGCCCTCGGAATAAGACAATAAATTAGATTCTTCTTTTTTTAAATGTAAATGATCCTTTTCCATTGGCACTTACCTTCTCAATTAAAAAAGAATGCACTTATTTAGATATCAATTTTTTGCAGTGTGCAGCATCTAGAGCAGCGCCTCATGAGCTTCTGAGGCGCGTGACGTGCTTCACAACCAGCAGATGCTGCAGTTGGAAAAGTTTAACTTCAGCTGCTGGACGCGCCTCATCAACCAATCAGAGACGCTGATCTGGGAGCTGGCAGGGAGTCAGACACAGCGCTGCTGATGCAGAGCGCTATGATCACTCCTCTGAAACAGTTTAACGCCTAAACACCTGAGAGCCGCTCAGACCCCCACATACCGGCGCTGCGCCTTCAATTCAATTCAGTTTATTTCTATAGCTCCAATTCACATCATGTCATCTCAGGTCACTTTCCAGTTCAACCAGATCATCCAGTCAGATTGATTCAAAGTTTTCTATCTAAGGAAAACCAGCTGATTGCATCGACTCATTGACTCTTCAGCAATCCCTCACACTAAGCATGCTTGTAGCGACAGTGGAGAGGAAAAACTCCCTTTGAACAGGAAGAAACCTCCAGCAGAACCAGGCTCAGTGTGAGCGGCCATCTGCTGAGGCCGACTGGGGTTCAAGGAGACAGAAGCAGACATAGAAAAAGAAGCATAGATACAAAAGGCAACTGTCAACCAGCTCCACAGGCGGCCCCGTCCAGGAAACACACAGCCAGGCAGACGAGCTCCGAGCCAGCTCCCATGTCAGAGGATGAAGAGAGCACATCCAGTTAGTCACAGTCAGAGAAACAGGACTACACTGGAAAACAGGCCAAGCTCCAACATCTAGAAACAAAGGTGTTGATGGCAGCAGCACAGCTGATATTTCTCTCCAGGATGGAGTCACAGCCAAACAGGAACAGACCAGATGAAGCTACTATGAGAAAAAGCAGAGAGAGCAGAACGTTAGAGATTGAACTAACAGATTCTGCAGAGTGGGAGAATAGAGATAGAATGAAGCAGAATGATGAAAAAGGGGTCCCTATGTCCTCCAGCAGTCTAAGCCTATAGCAGCATAACTATAGAGATAGCTCAGGATAACCTGAGCCACTCTAACTAGAAGCTTTATCAAAAAGGAAAGTTTTAAGCCTAGCCTTAAAAGTAGACAGGGTGTCTGCCTCACGGACTAAAACTGGTAATGTCACTGGGAATCCCCAGCAGCAGCTGCCTCAGGCCCGCTCGTCTCTTGGGGGTTTTCCCCTACTGTTGGTGGCGGCTGGAAGTAGATGTTAGCGTTTTTCAGGTCTGTGCTACAAACTGCAGGCAGCAGGATAATAAAAGCCAACATATTCTGCCGGCAGGTTTTGACATTTTAGGGTAAAATTGTGAAATTTTTGAATTTTACATGGAAAAATTAGGGCGTACCAGAGCTGTACACCTCAGAAACAGGGCGCACAATTTGTAATTTTTTTGTAAAGGGCGTACAATGTACGCCTCTATGCATTGCTGGCTAAAAGCCTGGGTATGAATGTAGCATTAGAGCAAAGATTGACACCTGCTCATGTTTTTCACCGGTTCCTTACAGGTGAACATCCAGCCCTCCGAGTGGCACCGTGCCCTGCTGCTCCCCCAGGCGTGGAGGGGCTTCATGAGCCGATCCTTCCACGCTGTCCTTCAGGTCTGACCTCCTTCAGCTCCTCTTGTTCTGAAATAACACAGTTTGCAGATAAAGAGTGAAACGGATCCTCTAATGATCCTAAAGCTGCAGTCTGGAACTTTCAGGGCCGACGGGCTGATCTGGAAATGCAGCAGAAACAAGGCAAAGAGGAGCCCCAGGAGCTGCAGTACAAACAGCACTGTGCCTGGCTGTGGTAGGAATCACTCACAACCATAAAGACTTCGCTTCGTTGCATTAAAAAGAAAATATTCTCTGTTTGTTTTTCATCTTTTAACACGAGGAAGCTAAACCCTGAGAGAAAACCCGCTGAAAGCTTCATGTGAAAAGGATTGTTCTCAGGAGAGGATGTTACTGCAGATATTTGACCCCGTTTCTTCCTCTCTTTAGGGCTAGAGATCAGCTGACGGATGTTATAAAAACTGCTATAAAGTGAGTAAATCTGGCGTTTCCTGGACAGCCGGCTGCAAGGGCTTAACTTTGTACAGAAAGTTGGTTGGTTGGTGGACCTACAGTTACTCCGACCTGAGCAAAAATGAGCTCAAACAGCTATTTATTGAATGCTTTCCTATTGTTGAGAACCATAATACACTAATTTTTATGTTTATAGGTAGTTAGAGAGATGCCTTTTAGTGCATTACATAAATATAGGACCCAGAAATATTTATGTATAGAAAAATAATGTATAACACCCGACTCTGATGGCAAAATCGATATGTCATGCGTCCGTAATAGGGCTGCAACTAACGATTATTTTAAAAATCGATGAATCGGCCGATTATTTTTTCGATTAATCGATGAATCGGACAAAAAGTATTTTTTATATTAACCTCTTTATTCCAAAATAAACATTTTAGACAGAACAAACAAGCACACAAGTACAGGTTGCTCATTAACTGTACTGGTGCAATATGACAAATAAATGTTTGTGTTAAAACTACGCAAACTTACATGAGAAATGTAGCTGTACATCCACAAAATATAGGCTACTTTGTTTCATAAAGCGCAAAAAAAGACATTTTTGTTTTTAAAGCCCCTAAGGGGTTCAAACAATAGGCCCCCCCATTTCAACAAATGAGTTTTTTTTTAGACTAGAAGAGTTCTGCCTTTTAAGACAGGAAAGTATAGCAGTTAAAGTTGCTACTTGAGAAAATACTGAACCATAGAGATAAAAATAGCCCTGTGATTCAAATTATAAATTGTATTTGGAATAAAAATGAGAGAACTAGGGGTGCTAAAAAACACATCCTCCAAAGACAGATATTTACATGGGAATGTGGCAGATAATTAATTGACATATTACTGATCTTGCTGGATTTTATTCTGCTTTACTTCCATAAATTGCAGGATCTTCTTTACTTTATCTTTGCCAGAAGATTTAAACTTTAAAAGCCTTGCCCTCATAATTTGCAAGTTAATTTATTTATAAAGAAAATATAAACGCTGCTTAAGCTAATTCAAATGAAATTAAAAGTAAAATAAGTAGCCAACCTTATCACTGTCTGTAACCTACTAACAAGGTAAGGAAAGCATCAAATGAGCTACCTGAGAAACTAACGTTACGTTTCCCCACTTTAAAACCAAACAAACATGGCCGCTCATCCTGCTGATCAGCTCTCTTCACTGCCATCGATGCTCCAACGTGTTTTCTTCTCAGGTGCTGCGTCATAACAGCGGTGCTTCCGCGCCATGTTCATTTGTTTTTACAAAAGTCGCATGTTACGAGTTTTTTCGCTTTACAAAGCGCAGGCTGTCTGCGAAATTTAGACGCAGTTTACGTTTGCGTTATCGGTCATTAGAACAGTTGACGTTACTGCCTTTTGAAAACGGCCTTTGCTCACCTGCGGCGCCGGCTCGCTCTGCCATATTTTTTTTTCTTCCCCCGTTTCAATCGGCAGTGATGACGACGGTGGCGGATGAAGCATTAATCGCGCGACACAACTAATCGATGATGAAATTCATTGCCAACGCTTTTAAAAGTCGATTTTTATCGATTTTATCAATTCGTCGTTGCAGCCCTAATCCGTAGAATGTACAATTTCAATTCCATCCATCCAGAAAAATATAGATATGCTCATTTTAAATATAGAATAGCATATTTTGTTCTGGTAAACATTCTGGTAAACTTGGAGATAGATTTTATTGCATGTTGCATATCCCACTAAATCTGTTTCACCTTTAAATCTGCAGCTCTCCCTATTTCTCTCTGTGCTCTGTTTAAAAAGATTTACGAACCTCTTTACTAATATAATAATGCCAGAAGCAACATTTCAAGATATGTAGAAGCTCTGCAGTCTGATTCTGTCTGCACAATAAGAAAGCATGTTCATTTTAAGCTCTAACTGGGAGTCATGGTCCTCTGAGAAACCCAGCTTTTTTTTTAACTAGTAAAGAAGAACAAACTATGTTTTCTAGAGCTTCTTGCTTTATAATACTAACTTGTATAAACTTAGAATTTGTTGCCATTTTTAGCTTAAAAAGCTCCATATTTCTACTAACAGATTTTTCTCTGGCATCTCTAATTTTAATTTAATTAACTAGCCTGTCTCCTTTCTTTTGCTTAAACATTGAAGTAGCTGCTGGTTAATATTCACTGAGCGCTGCTGTGTTTCTCTCCTGCTCCACGTAGCTACGCTGCAAGCATTGAAATGCGACCGCAAATCAGATGTCTCAAAGCGACACACGGACTCTAAACGCTGTGAATACAGATGGCTTCACCCAGCTCTGTTACCTTTGAGCAGAAAGTGGAGAAAAGCAGAAATTATTGTTGGGGACTGTCCTCACCTGTCCTTCAGAAAGTTTCTGGTGAAGATTCTCAGTCATCCGGATCAAAGTTATTCCAAAAAAAAAGAAAATTAAAAATATTCCACTGGACTTTGTTTCCAAGTTTGAAGATGTTTCTCTTCCCATCCAGGAAGCTTTTTCAATTCAAAATGTCAGAAATAGCGTCGAGTTCCAGGCTTAAATAAAAACCTTGTTTTTATTTTGAAAATATGCAAATTGAAACAGATGAACAGGTCCGCCCCTTTGGCATGGGGGTCGTTTGGGTTGTTTTGTTAGCCTGCAATGCCCCATACCTGTCTATGTCTCTGAAAAGGGGGGTCGTTAGAGGGAATTGTTGGCCTGGCTGAAGAGGCGAGGTCCTCCGCTCTACTGTAAAGGGGCTAACCTGACTCCGCCAGATGGATTTGCTCCGCATATCCATCTGGAAACCTTCCGTTGAAGTAATTTTGGGAAGGGGCGAAAATCCTGGTTAGCTGATTGGCCTATGTTGGTGATAGACGGGCCAAATAAACCAATCAGATCAACGAAGCATATGACGTACTAACAGAGCGACGACGAAGAGGAGCCAATTGATAGATCAAACTCTTGCTGAAACCAGTCGGGAGAAGAGCAAAAACATCTTTTCCTCTGAGAAAAGCCTCCAGAGCAGTGTTTTGCTCTTCTTTCAGTGAAGAAATACTCTGTAATTCCGATAAATCTTGCTCGATAGCCACGCTAACGCTAGTTTCATCGGCTGAAGCCGCCATGTTCTTTAGACTGAACTGTCGCGCTTCTCGTTGCGTCACACCTCAATCCGCCTCAAAGCCAACGCTGATTGGACGTTCGTTTGGTGAACGGCTCCAAATTTTTTTCAACGGAGAGTCTCCAGACTGATTAGCGAGTGAAACCTTGAAAGCTCGCGAGATCAGGATGGTCTCACGAGGCTATACAGGGGCTGGTGCTTCGATGATAGCGGGAAAGGATTAATTCAATCGCTGCATTGTAGGTTTTTGAAAGCTGAAACCTGAGTCCACCCTCCTCTTCAGAAAGTTACGCCTGCGGCCTGCTGTATTATGTTACATTAGAGTTTAACCCAGAAATATTTGGATATTTCGACGCGTCCTAACTGGATGGTTCTGTATCTTTGTCAGGGACAGTCCTGTTGTCCAGGGAAACTCCATCCTGACTCTAAGTGGTCTGGCTGCTGTGGTCGCCAAGTATGAGAGCAATCTGCCTACTGACAGCAGCGGCAGCCTCGGGGTAACACTGTTTTCTTTTAAAACACCCTCCAGTAAAGAAATCCTGTGTTTTGTTGCCCCTGAGAGCAGAAACCTGGTTCCTGCTGCTGAATATCCTCCCTGTTTGATCCCTGTAGGCCGGCCCTGAGTTTGTGCCTACTTCCAGCTGGTTGTCCATGGTACTGGACACCCTGCTGAGCATCAGCAGCAGCAGCTACAAGGCCAGGGGACAGGTGTTTCCATGGTTCCTTCATGTAAGTTTCACCTGAGAATATGCTTCAGCTACAGGTAAATACCAAATAAATCAGCAAAGGAAGATAAAAACAAAATGACTTTAGGGAAAAAGGCTGAAAATATATGTGGAGGTGTCCTAAATAAACGTTTTACAGGAACGTTTATCCGTTTTTACTACATTTTAACGAATCTTTAAAGAGATCTTTGACCTTGGACTGTGGTTGAATAGTTTAGACACTGAGTTTAAAGTAGGAAGCGAAGTTATTTCCTGCGCTGATGCAGATGTTAACTAACGGAACGTTTTCTTCCTCCTCAGCGATCGTACTCCGGTGAGAACACGGCGAGCGCCATCGCCCGCTCCTGCGCTAGCCTGGCCTTGTCGCTGCTGGTCCCGGTTCTGGTGGTGTGGCAGAGGGACGGTCTGGTCCAGGTTCTGTCAGCCCTGCAGGCCGGCCTGCCGGGCTCGCCCTCCGCAGACGACTCCCAGGCCGTCCAGTTCCACTCGGGTCTTGCTCTCGGCATGGTTCTCTCCAGTCTGCACCACCAATGTCTCCGGTACGGCGTCTCTCAGAGGAAAGTGTTCCCTTCGCTTATTGAACTAACAAAGACTCGTGGTTCTTTGTGTTGTTCAGGGATACCTCTGCCCAGGAGGACATGGATCTCCTTTCCAGCTCTCTGGACGCTCTGGAAAGCTGCTGCTTCAACCCCAACCTGGAATACAAGTTAGTGCTCCGTGTGCAGAGAGATACGGTTATGAACCAGCAAAGGTCCAGTTAGCCAACATTTGAACTACAGCTGAACAATTTAGCAAAAAAAATCTAAATTGCGATTATTTCTTAACCGGTATTACGATTGCAATTTTTCATTTCAGTTTTACTTTTCACTAAATGAAATCTTATAGATCAGGGGTAACTAATAAAAAATCAGCGGGATCCGAATAAAGAAAAGCATCAACCAGTCTATTTATAATCTGTTACTTTAAACAGTAACAGATTATAATTAGATTAAAGTCAGAATTCTGAGATTAAAGTCAGAATTCTGAGAAAAAGGTCAGAATTCTAAAAGATTAAAGTCAGAATTCTGAGATTAAAGTCAGAATTCTGAGAAAAAAGTCAGAATTCTAAGATTAAAGTCAGAATTCTAAGATTAAAGTCAGAATTCTGAGAAAAAAGTCAGAATTCTAAGATTAAAGTCAGAATTCTAAGATTAAAGTCAGAATTCTGAGAAAAAGGTCAGAATTCAAAAGATTAAAGTCAGAATTCTGAGAAAAAAGTCAGAATTCTGAGATTAAAGTCAGAATTCTAAGATTAAAGTCAGAATTCTAAGATTAAAGTCAGAATTCTAAGATTAAAGTCAGAATTCTGAGATTAAAGGAATAGTACACCCAAAACATGATTAGCCTTCATTTTCTACTCACCCCCATGCTGAACAACACTCTGGAGTACTTTTTTGATATCTCAAATGCATCTGGAGATCTGGGAGGCTTCTTGCTGTCTGCTGACATTCAAATAATGGAGGTCTATGGCGCCCGAGGCAGAAAGGTCCATAAAAGTCCACAAAAACGTGTCAATATTCCTCCATACTGCTCGTCCAATGTATTCCAAGTGTCCTGAGTGGGTAGCATCCAGAATTTACTCGAAACGAAGTCATTTAGAATGTTTTTAGAGCATAAACAGTAGTGTATAGGATTTCCTGAAAGCGCGTTCACGAGTCTACGGAAACCGCTGCAGAACAAACCAGATGAAAGTGCGCATTCAGCGTCTGCTCTGCCGATAATGCAAGCGTAGAAGAAGAACTGTGCTGTTTACCTGTGCAAAGAAAGAAAGAACGAAAGAAAAATGTCTGAGGACTTCAGTGTTGAGGAAGAGCATGAGTTCTTTGACGAGCTGAATGCGCACTTTCATCTGGTTTGGTCTGCCGCGGTTTCCGTAGCGTCGTGAACGCGCTTTCAGGAAATCCTATACACTACTGTTTATGCTCTAAAAACATTCTAAATGACTTCGTTCGTTCGTTCTTCCAGCAGTCCACTCTTTCTCTGCTCTCTTTTTCTCATGGTCTTCTCCTTCTTTCCCATCGCCCGGCTTGCCACAAGTTTGCCTGCTGTGTCTAAAAGTAGCAGCAGCAGCAACCCAGACTGACAGCTCATTGGCTCATTTGGATCACGTGCAGACTGCAGCCTGGAGCCGGACGCTCCCCAGGGCTTTACCGTATTAACAGGAGAAGCAGAGCAAGTGAAATTAGACACTGTAGTCAGACAACATGCAGGAATTTATAAATGTTTTAAATCAGGTGGATCCGGATCCGGACCACGGCCCGTTAATCTGTGACATCTGTTATAGATGTATCACTGCAGGCTTTTAGTCTTTGAAAGCTTTTCTTGCCCAGAGTCGGTTCTTGCAGGACTTTAACCATTGTGTTAAAAAGTTTTTACTTCTACTTCCATGCATGGATCTGTGAGCTAGCTAAACATCTCTCTACCGTTCTGAGTGCCGACTAACCCACTTCAAGCATTTTGCTGCCACCTATCGGGCTGGAGGGAGAAATTTAGTCTCTTGTTAAATATTAATGGGGGGGTATTCGCATGGGTGTAGCAATACTATATGTGTGACGATACTTGGGTCACAATACGATATTATCATGATATTGCAAAATCAATATATATATTGTGATATAGCTATCAAAATTAAATGTATAGATAAAAAAGAAAGGGCTGTATTTGTTCATCAGAAGATATCGATCGTTTAGTTATTTTGGTATCCATGTTTGGGGTTTGAGGCAGTCCACGCCTTCCACTATGACTGCCAGATACGGCACGGCATCGCACAGCACAAGGGCTCCTCACGCTACCTGCCATTTTCCCTCATTGTTTTTTTACATAAAATGTTTAGTTTAAAAAAAAATCGACATTAGGAACTGAGAGATCGATATTATATCGGGGAGCTGAAAATCACAATATATCGCCGACACGATTTTTTCGCACACCCCTATTTAATATAGCGTTATTAAAATTAGGGCTGTCAATTTAAATTGCGATCATTTTTAACCAAAACTGCGATTTCTCCTTTGCACTAACCCCGAGCTTGTAAACGTTTCACCCAGGCGTTCGGTTTTTGAAAGCTTCCTTGCTGAACAATTTTGCATAAAAAATCTACACTGCGATTATTTTTTAACGAAATTGCAACGCAATTTTATTTCGGTTTTCCTTTGCACTAAAGGCTAGTTTATGCTCAGGAACCAGGCCCTCTGCTTGTGTGTCGCGGTTAACCTTACCAGCTTGTTTTGTTTGTATGACCGCTATTGTGGAAAACGACTCGTGAAGTTGGACCAGCTAGCTATACACCATGATACAACTAGCTAGAAGAGCGAGGTGCGCGAGAACGCTGGGATCCCCGCTCTTTTTGGTCCTCATGTTCCTCCGTTGTCACAGAAACTTGCCCCAACTTCCTCTCTGCCTCGGCCGTATCTAGACCCACAGCTAGCTCCTGATTGGCCCTCTGGCATTGTGGCGTGGAATAACATAGCGTAATATTGGGCATAAATCAAAAATGTCTGCGTAAAAATGACTTGCGACACACTGCTACGGGAGAATACACAGCCCTTAACCCCAGGCTTGTTTCACCTAGGCGTTAAGTTTTTGAAAGCTTTCTTGCCCAGAGTCCATTGTGAGAAACATGTTTTTACTTGTGCTAGCATGCAAAGATCTGCGTGCTAGCTAGAACTCTCTCTACTGTTCCGTGTGTTGACGAAACCCACTTCAAGAATTTTACCGCAACCTTAAAGGCTGGAGGGAGAAATTTAGTTAGATATAGTGTGATTAAAAATCAGTGCCTCTGCAATTGGAAAATTTTGTTTTTTAAATTGCGATTATATCGCAAACGCGATTAATTGCCCAGCCCTAATTTGAGCTGGATATGCATTAGGGTGTGTAGCTAAAAGCTGTAGCAGCGGGACTCAGTTTTCTGAGGATGACTTCAGTAACAGGTGAGTTTTGTCACTCCTGTTCCGCAGCACCGGCTGCGTGTTGGGCCTAGGCCTCGCGCTCTCAGCCCTCTGCAGCAGAGGCCAGGTGGAACAGCAGGTCCACGTCACCAGAACCCTTGACAAGCTACTGGCTAACCTGCAGGACAGCGGCGGGCAGGGTCGCATGCTGCAGGAGGTACGACAGCACCACACTTCAGCACTTCTACGGGAGGGATGGAGTTCACATTAGACGATACAATGATCTCTGTAGCTTTCATACCAACTTTTCCTCATTTGTGACACAGGTTTTCTATTGAGCTAATTATTTTATATATAAAAAAGTTCTATGTTACTTTAATAGACGTTAAAATATCTTGACTGGGATCAGAGCTTGATCCTGATCAACAGCAGCAACAATCATTGTTCTTCTTCAGGTGCTGTCGTACTCTGTGGCCTGTGTGAGCGTCTCAGCATTCAGCGGAGGTCTGATCGATGCTGCCAAGGCTGAGGAGGTCCTGAACAGTCTGCGCGCCCTGACCGAGGAGAGCCAGCAGGTTAGGAGGGGCCCCTTCCTATCTAGTTATCTTTGATTTCTTTCCTGTTAGAAAACCTATTTTTAATATGGTCAGAAAGACGTGAAGGTCAGAAATCAATGGTGAGGTCCATTTGTCTTCGGAAGTCAACATTTCCAATTTCCAAGTTTGAGTTTTTGACAGGGACGCTCCTGAAAGTTGGAATTATAGTTAGATGGCCGTAGAGGCCTCGTGAGACCATCCTGATCTCGCGAGCTTTCAAGGTTGCACTCACTAATCAGTCTGGAGACTCTCCGTTAAAGAAAATTTGGAGCCGTTCACCAAACGAACGTCCAATCAGCGTTGGCTTTGAGGCGGGTTGAGGTGTGACGCAACGAGAAACGCGACAGTTCAGTCTAAAGAACATGGCGGCTTCAGCCAATGAAACTAGCGTTAGCGTGGCTATTGAGCAAGTTTTATCGGAATTACAGAGTATTTCTTCACTGAAAGAAGAGCAAAACACTGCTCTGGAGGCTTTTCTCAGAGGAAAAGATGTTTTTGCTCTTCTCCCGACTGTGTTTGGGCAAGAGTAGCCTGGCTGTTAGTACGTCATATGCTTCGTTGATCTGATTGGTTTATTTGGCCCGTCTATCACCAACATAGGCCAATCAGCTAACCAGTATTTTCGCCCCTTCCCAAAATTACTTCAACGGAAGGTTTCCAGATGGATATGGGGTGCAAATCCATCTGGTGGAGTCAGGTTAGTAGAGTCTTTCGACACTTCGACTCCTTGACTGAGAGTTCTGAGGACAATTGAAAGCACCATTAATTCCTGAACCCAGCGGCTGCGTTTTTAATCTCCCATCTGATTAGTTGACTGCGTAAAGAGAGGCTCCGACTAGGCAAGGTGAGCAGATCTGTGCAGATTTATTTATTTATTTTTTTCACTTTTTTCTCTGTGCTACACCAATAATTTACCATATTTGACTTCAGATTATGAAAAGTTATTGAAAATAAATAAATATGTAAAACACAGGCACAGCTATAAAGCAAAGCCCCACATAACAAGTCTGAGCAGCATCTCAAACCGGAACAGAGAATGTTCAGATATTAAAAACATAAAGAGATCTATGACTAAAGAAAAGGAGAATAAACCAATAAACGCTGTGAGACGGTTTCTAAACTGTTTCTAAACTGACTCTTTCTCCGTGAGATCAACTGATTTTATTTTGTATTTTCCTCCAAAGCGGATGCGTTTTACTTTGAAACCGCGTCTCTCTTCCTGTCAGACCCATGAAATTGCTGCTGAACCGCTGCGTAGTCCGACTAAAACAGACCTGGGCTCTATCTTAGTCGGAGCTACGCTGCCCCCTGCAGGAAATCATCCGCATTGACTTTTAATGAACACTAAACACCACAACCTCTAAGGCGCCATTTTCTGTCTGATCGGATGCAAAATCGGGTCTTCCGACCTTTCCTGTAGTTCCTGTTAGCGCTCAGTCTGGTCCAGGGTTCCAGTTGTTCCTTGAAATTCTCGAAATTTTATTAAATAACAAAAAAATAAAAAAGTTTAAGGCCCTTAGGTTCTTAAAAACTGCTATAAAACAACATTAGTCCATGTTTCTTTGTGGTATAAAACTTCACGGCTGCTGTCCAGGTTTGTTTCCTGTTAGTTTAGCTGACATCATCTCATCTGGGTCAGACTGTACGGAAGCCGAGAGCGGTCATATTCTCAAGATAATGACATATCTATCGCGTTATCACGGTTAAACCATTAATTGTTTTCTCAAGATAACAAGATAAGTATCTCGTTATCACGAGACAACATTGATTTCTTGAGATAACGAGCTGATTAACCTGTATGAGGAATGAATGAGGCTGACCATCAGCCCTGGATTCCCAGTCCGTCCATGCCTGCGGGGCCCGCAGGTGTGCAGTCCCGGTCCAGCGTGTGCGCAAATAATCAGTTTTTTATTTTCCTTTTTCTTTTCACTCATCGTCAGGTGGTGGTGGATGATTGGATTGCATGGAATATGTGAAAAAAATCTTTAATCTGGACTCATTTTGGGGGTTAAAGCATCTGATACCTGTTAGAGGCGTAGCGGCAGGGCTGTTCAGAAAACAACCGTTGCTAAGGCGCCAGAGGAATAGGTCTAATTGCTTATGATCCAGAAGTGGAAGCAAATCATTAAACCAACAACGTCGTCTTGTTACCTCAAAGTTAAACACAAGATTATTTACAAAATTGCACAAAGGTTGCCGTGACTTATACTTATAAATCCTCTCCTGTTGTGGTTTTGAAGGTTGGAATCAGTTTTAACACAAACCAATCGTCTCATTATCAGGAGAAAACAGCTCTAGTTATCTTTAAATATTGAGAAAATTAACTGGAAAACCACCATAAAAAAGTGTCAGAGCGACATGACCGCTCTGGGCTTCCGTAAGACTTGCTGTCATCTGGTTGATGTGTTAATACCTGGAAGTGTTTTTTAAAGATTCCTTAGTTGCTGAATAAAGCCGAGAAGTCGTCAAGGAACCCAAAAAACTGCAGTTTTTTTTTGTGTTTGAAGACTATTGGATGTTTTGTTTTGAGTAAAGTTTTCTTGCTGAATTATTCTAATAATTCAGATGTAAAAAAAGACATTTCCACCTGTTCAGGAAAAAATAACACAGTGTTTATCTAAATCAGAGCCATCAATAAACTCTTTACTTTTATCATAACCTATTTAACATAACCTGGTCGTTATGTGTTTAGATCATTATTTTTAGGCCATTATATTATAGTAGAGCTCCCTCTGATTTAAGCTTGTTTTTGTTTGCAATTAACTGCATGACTCAGGAATTCCTGGACTGAACTCATTTTACCTGCTGAATACTTATTAGTTCACCACTAGGTGGCAACATTGAGCCTCTGACGCTTCAATAAGACTTTGAGTATCGAATGATTTTTATTTTATTTTTTGCAACACATTTGCTTAAGAGCTTTAAAGCTTTACTATGGGGGGTATTTACCATCAGGCAACACTAGGCAGATGCCTAGGGCCCCATAAAACTCTGTTTATATGTATGGTTAATACAACTATTCCTTATTTGTGCACATTAATTATGTTTTTGATAAAAATCCTTTCACTAAAATGCCATCAGAACGCTGATAATAGTGTGTCTCAGCCCCCCCTTCAGTGTCCGCCATATTGGATCAGTCCATTTGCTGCACATGTTCAGAAAGGTCCAAACAGACAGCAGCAAACCATTTGAAAACAAACGATGCAACTTAGCGCTTTAGTCGCTATATTTAGCCACTTTTCAGACCCCTCTAGCACTTTGATTTCTAAAAAGCTCCTAGCGCCAAATCTAGAGACTTTTTCCTGCTACTGGAGACTTTGGAGACAACATCTAAAAGCAGCGAACTCTGCTCTCCAGAGCGAGTAGATTGGTAACCCCGCCTCCTGCTCTCCTCTATCTTGTCTGCTGTCATGATTCATGCAGCTATTATTTCATCCAAATGAAAAATGGAGAACAGATAAGCAGATCATGGCTTGTCTACAGTGAAAAGAAGGACTGGGTTATTTACTTTGGCCTTTTTGGAAACACAGGAAGGAGCAATCAGCTAACTGAGCTTAGTGCTTGGAAAAAATCTTTCATTCCTTTAGAGACAGCATGAAAAGTCAGCTGAGTACAAAACATAGAGAGGAAAACAAGAAGAAAAGGGACAAAAAGAGAGGGACACAACCTAGAACAGATAATGGATGTCTATTCTATTAACATTTCTCTATTCACAGGGCCCCCTGCCTGTCTTTGCCTAAGGCCCCACATTTCCTAAATCCGCCCCTGATTACAGGTTATTAAGATCGTATATCTTTACATTGATGTTGACCTTTATTTGTTCTGATGCATTTGGTTTGTTTTTGATGAATTGGCGTTCTGGATGACGTCATCTGGAAGCAGTTTCATGTCCATTAGATTTTCCTCCAGCTGTGTCAGAGTAACAACCGCAGGCAGAGTTACCTGCGCTGGCGTCTTAGGAAAACTCGTTTCTGATGTTTCACCAACGTCTCCAGACTCCAGGCTTCTCATTGGCTCTCGGGCTGGTCGTCCACGGCCTCTCTGTGTCCGGCCACGGCAAAGCAGAGGACATTCAGCCCCGCCTGCTGGCTGCTTGGATCCAGATCCTCCTGGCCGAGGTACGGCGCCATTTCACCAGCACCAGAGTGCACCGAACGTCTCCGCATCGTCAGCTAACGATGTACTGTGGATGATGTGATAAAGAGATTTCTTTGCGTTTCAGAGTTGTCCCACGATGCAGCGACTGGCTGCCGCTAACGGACTGGTGGCTCTGGTGGGATCAGAGAGCGGCCTGATTCAGGTAGGAGCCCAGCTCCATGCAGGAGCGCGTTCTACGGCTGTTCACTCAGAAATATGGCTGCTATGCTTTATTTTCACAGTTTCAGAATGAGTTGGAGCTTTCCTCCCAGCAGCAGAGCAGACTCAACGAGGTGATCCGCGGCATCACGCAGGTAGCCCTCTGGCTCCTACCTAACATCCTCCATGTTGCCTGTTTTTTTTCCTTCTTGGACATAAACAAAAAGACGAATCGTTTTTGGTTCTTTGTTGCAGATTATAACCTTTTCTGGGGCCATTGGCCTGCAGTCCAACTGTGCCTGCCTGATCGGCCATCTGCATCTGGCCCACATGTCCAGCAGTCACAGCCACACAGCAGGTAGAGCAATCAGAGACAGCAGGAGAGTTTGATTCAGTTATATGAGGAAAAGACTGGAAATGAACAACAATTAAACAAAAAACATTAATCTAGCAGACAAAATGACAAAATGAATGCTTTTAGCGGCGGTGAGAACAGCTCACTGCCGTGAGTTTACACGGGTCAAAAAACTCCGTCTGAATCTCATCGGCTCTGATTAGCAAACTGGGAACACTAGGGGTGTAAATCACACCCATCATGGCGATTCGATACCCTGACTGCGCCAGATGGAAAATACTGGTTAGCTGATTGGCCTATGTTGGTGATAGACGGGCCAAATAAACCAATCAGATCAACGAAGCATATGACGTACTAACAGCCAGGCTACTCTTGCCCAAACACAGTCGGGAGAAGAGCAAAAACATCTTTTCCTCTGAGAAAAGCCTCCAGAGCAGTGTTTTGCTCTTCTTTCAGTGAAGAAATACTCTGTAATTCCGATAAAACTTGCTCAATAGCGACGCTAACGCTAGTTTCATCGGCTGAAGCCGCCATGTTCTTTAGACTGAACTGTGGCGCTTCTCGTTGCGTCACACCTCAACCCGCCTCAAAGCCAACGCTGATTGGACGTTCGTTTGGTGAACGGCTCCAAATTTTCTTCAACGGAGAGTCTCCAGACTGATCTGCGAGTGAAACCTTGAAAGCTCGCGAGATCAGGATGGTCTCACGAGGCTAGCGTTTCGATTCAGTATCGATTTCCTGACCCAACGATTCAATTATTTTCGACACTCCAGAATATACCACGATTCGATTCAAATTAATTGGTTCTTTTTTTTTTAAAACCTTACAGGCTAGACAATGTTTCAAATTTGAAATAAATCAATGAAAGCTATAATAGGCCAGGAGGCCGGCTTGTTTTGTTTTTATGACCGAAATTGCAGAAAACAACTCGTGAAGTTTGACCCGCTAGAAGAGCGAGGTGCGCGAGAACGCTGTGACCCTTTTTCCACCTGGATCTCCGCTCTTTTTGGCCCTCATGTCCCTCCGTCGTCGGACTAAACTCGCCCCCACTTCCTCGCCGCCTCGGCCGTATCTAGACCCACAGCGTGTAGCGCAGACCACGCTTCAATATTGAGCATAAATCAAAAATGTCTGCATCAAGCTCACTGCAACACACTGCTGTAAGAGTATAACCAGGAAGCGAGGTAGGAGGGCAAAATAGGTTTAGCGCCACCGCAGCACGGGAGGAGAATTACGCCCAGGAGCAAATGGATAAAAATAGACCGGAGGAAAAAAAAACATGAATCGATTCTCTTGCGGACGTATCGATGCATCGGATCGTCGGCTGTTGGATCGATGCATCGATACAAAACTATTATTATTTACACCCCTAGGGAACACCAGAGCCCAGTTAACCCGCTAAATTACGTGATACCATTGAACGCAACATAGGAACGTCAACACACCGCTCCAGCCGCTTCTGATCTAACAATTCTATTCAGTTTATTTCTATAGCTTCAATTCACATCATGTCATCTCAGGTCACTTTCCAGTTCACCAGATCATCCAGTCAGATTGATTCAAAGTTTTCTATCTAAGGAAAACCAGCTGATTGCATCGACTCATTGACTCTTCAGCAATCCCTCACACTAAGCATGCTTGTAGCGACAGTGGAGAGGAAAAACTCCCTTTGAACAGGAAGAAACCTCCAGCAGAACCAGGCTCGGTGTGAGCGGCCATCTGCTGAGGCCCACTGGGGTTCAAGGAGACAGAAGCAGACATAGAAAAAGAAGCATAGATACAGAAACTAACTGTAACAAGCAGAATCAACTCAGTTTACATTCGATAAACATGGAGCAGCTCTGGTTAGAGGGACTTATTCAGAAGAGCTACGGTTTTTCTTAAATAACGTATATTTGCAACTTAATTTGATTTTGTATTTATTTCAGTTCTTATTCACCTTGTAGGCAAAGTGGGGGGTAGAGGTTCTGCAAGGTTCGTGCTCAGTGGGGCGCCTGTTTCCCTTAGTGCTCTGTTCTGCTTTCCACTTTAAAATAAGGGTTTACTGTTACTCTGCCTAGACCTAAAATAGTGAGCAGCTATGTTGTAGTTGGTGGTTTTGAATGTGAAGAGGCTAAATGTTGGTGTGAATATTTCTATATGAACCGGTCGGATCTCTGGAGCTTCTTCAAGTGTCTTTAGCTTTTCTTTGAAGAGGGTAAAATCTTCTCTGGATGCTGGATTTTCTGATGTCTTTACATGTTTTTGATCCATCTGCCTATTTTCTCTGCGTTCTGAGCTGGAGGCCTCATCACTAAGACTCAATCATGCCTTTTCCGCCTCAGTTCCTCAGGACTTCAGTTACCTCCCGGTGAAAAGCGTCATCCGCTCCATAACGGACTTCATTACAGAAGCGGGGAAAAAAGGTACGTTTTTCTCGACGCCGACGGGTTCGCTGGTCTTTAAAGCGAAAGTGAAAGAACGTCCCGTCTATCTGCGGCTGCAGGTCCAGAGGTTTCCTCTCCGGCTCTGGTTCGGACCGCTCTGACCCCCCTGGCGTCTGTAGGAGCTGCCTTCCAGTATCCGCCGGTGAACTGGAGCGCCGTCCTGTCCCCGCTGATGAGACTGAGCTTCGGTAACACCTCTCACATCTCCGTCTCATTAAAAGTTCAGAGCAAAGATCTCAGCGGCTGCGTTTATCTCTGACAGGAGAAGATATCCAGCATCAGTGTGTGGTCCTGGCAGCGTGCCAAGCTCAGTCTTCCCAAAGCGCCTCCCTCTTCCTGGGCTCCTGGCTGTCTCCACCTCTCGTCCACAGCCTCAGCGTTGGTTATTCTCATCCTCTTTCCAAAAAAGAAAATAAAAAACAATCCACTGGACTTTGTTTCAAAGTTTAAAGATGTTTCTCTTCCCATCCAGGAATCTTTTTCAATTCAAAATGTCAGGAATAGAGTTGAGTTCAAGGTCTTATACAGCAGCCCAACTATATACTATGGAGGATAAAAAGTGCCAAAATTAAATAAATGAAACAGCATTAAATAAATCATTAAATGTGTCAATAATTAATTAAATGTGGAATTAAATAAATAAATGTGTCATTCATTAATTAAAACCACGTCACTAATATAAAGTGCCACAATTAAATAAATAAATACAGCGATAAACAATCAATTAAATGTGTAATTCATTAAATAAATAAGGAATTAAATATATAAATGTGTCATTAATTTAATAATATATATATAATTATTTCATGGTCCTGTGTCGCAGTGCATCGAAACCATTAAAAGAATCTGTCAAACTCACCCATCAAAGTTAGGGGGCGGGGTTAACGCGAATCGAGTCTCTGTAATCGATTTGCTTCGCCTTAATGTGCAGGGTGACCAATCAGGTGTTAGATAACCGCCCCCTAACTTTGATGGGTGAGTTTGACAGATTCTTTTAATGGTTTCGATGCACTGCGACACAGGACCATGAAATAATTATATATATATTATTAAATTAATGACACATTTATATATTTAATTCCTTATTTATTTAATGAATTACACATTTAATTGCTTGTTTATCGCTGTATTTATTTATTTAATTGTGGCACTTTATATTAGTGACGTGGTTTTAATTAATGAATGACACATTTATTTATTTAATTCCACATTTAATTAATTATTGACACATTTAATTATTTATTTAATGCTGTATTTATTTATTTAATTTTGGCACTTTTTATCCTCCATAGTATACAACCTTAGCCGCTGTATAAAAACTTAAACTCAACTCTATTTCTGACATTTTGAATTGAAAAAGCTTCCTGGACGGGAAGCGAAACGTCTTCAAACTTGTTTTTCATTTTAAATTAAATTTTGGAATGACAATGACCTGGATGACTGAGACTCGTCACCAGGCTCCTCCTTCTTTGTGGCTAAACAAGTTAACAGTAGACCAACCTGACAGCACCGAGCTCTGCTGCTCTGAAATGTTAATTTTTTTCCAGGATGATGTTCCTTTGGAATACAAAGCTCTCCTCTCTGACACAACCTTTGGCGTTGTTCCCTCCAGCTTCGTACTCGAGCTCACCTCTACGAGTCCCTGGGCGTGTGGATGAAGCACGTGGCGGAGGACAAGCTGCAGGTGTTCGTGAAGAGCCTGGGCCTGCAGCAGTTCCAGGACGACGTGCGAACCCAGAGGCTGTCTCTGTGTCGCTCTCTGCTGACGGGCGTCGCTCAGGCCATGGCCCTCCCCAACCCGCCCAACCACTGCTGGGCCGTCCTCTGCTCGTCCGCAGAGAAGATCTTCCTCCTCCTGCCCAATCAAATTCAGGTGCGTCCAGCGAACACACGCTCATTTTTACAGACTAGTAGCGTGGCCCCCCCACTTTCTTCAAATCAGACAAAATTAGTGTCAAACGTTTTTGCAGCAAAAAATTTTGTTTTTGCCGCTATCATTTTAAAGATGTAAAGAGATGTTTCTAGAGGTCATCAAAGGTCAACCAGCCCCCCCACCTGGGTGTCAATTAAAGGAATAGTACACCCAAAACATGATTAGCCTTCATTTTCTACTCACCCCCATGCTGAACAACACTCTGGAGTACTTTTTTGATATCTCAAATGCATCTGGAGATCTGGGAGGCTTCTTGCTGTCTGCTGACATTCAAATAATGGAGGTCTATGGCGCCTGAGGCAGAAAGGTCCATAAAAGTCCACAAAAAACGTGTCAATATTCCTCCATACTGCTCGTCCAATGTATTCCAAGTGTCCTGAGTGGGTAGCATCCAGAATTTACTCGAAACGAAGTCATTTAGAATGTTTTTAGAGCATAAACAGTAGTGTATAGGATTTCCTGAAAGCGCGTTCACGACGCTACGGAAGCCGGCAGACCAAACCAGATGAAAGTGCGCATTCAGCATCTGCTCTGCCGATAATGCAAGCGTAGAAGAAGAAATGTGCTGTTTACCTGTGCAAAGAAAGAAACAACGAAAGAAAAATGTCTGAGGACTTCAGTGTTGAGGAAGAGCATGAGTTCTTTGCCGAGCTGAATGCGCACTTTCATCTGGTTTGGTCTGCCGCTGTTTCCGTAGCGTCGTGATCGCGCAGGTGCGCGCTTTCAGGAAATCCTATACACTACTGTTTATGCTCTAAAAACATTCTAAATGACTTCGTTTCGAGTAAATTATGGATGCTACCCACTCAGGACACTTGGAATACATTGGACGAGCAGTATGGAGGAATATTGACACGTTTTTTGTGGACTTTTATGGACCTTTCTGTCTCGGTCACCATGGACCTCCATTATTTGAATGTCAGCAGACAGCAAGAAGCCTCCCAGATCTCCAGATCCATTTGAGATATCAAAAAAGTACTCCAGAGTGTTGTTCAGCATGGGGGTGAGTAGAAAATGAAGGCTAATCATGTTTTGGGTGTGCTATTCCTTTAACTGGGCTCCGTTTGTGCAGCAGAAACATCTGTTAACTGACCTTAAGATGACCTCTACAAAATATTATTAATATCATTGAAATGATAGAAGAACAAATGAACATTTTTGGCCAAACAAAAATATAAAATTTTAGAATTAATTTTAAAATATTTAAAATAAATAAATAAAAAATTTAAAAATGCATATTTTAAAATATATACATTTTTTCTGCTGTTATCATTTTAATGATATTAATAATTGTTTGTAGAAGCCATCAAAGGTCAGTGAACATTTGTTTATTAAGAAACTCTGAATTTCATATCAATTATAAGTTGCTAACCTATGACTATAATTTTAAACTGTAAAAAAAAAATGATAGCGGCACAAACGACAATTTTTGCGACACAAGCGGAGCACAAACATCTGACAGTAATTTTGTCTGATTTAAAGAAGGTGGGGGGGGCAACTTCACCCAGGTCAGGGATTAAAGTATTCCAGCTCGTAGCGATTGTTCGTGGATTAAAAAAACAAAAATCACTCAGAAAAAGACAACCAAAAACCCTCTTGTGTTTGTCAGCCAATGGAAACAAAGGACTGCTCTGAAACTAACATGATTAGCCAATCAGAAGAAGAAGGGGCGGGTCTTAAGAAAGCGTGTACTTCCTCCTCTCGTTTCCTGCTCAAGTCGCGGATAGATTGTGGTTCAGTGCTGAAGTTCTACAGTTTGCGCCGTTTACGGCTCCATTCAACGGAGAGATGTATTTAAGTTAAAAAAAATAAATAAATGAAACTTGGAGTGGGCACAATGCAGTTTATGAACTCCAGGAAAAATGTCACATTGAAGCAAATCAACTTTGAGTTAATCAGGGCCGTTCCCTGTTAGGTCAATGTATCTTCCTTCCACTAGCCAGATGGATCTCCTCAAAACAGCTGTGCTCCCCTTCATGCCATGAAGGAGGCTGTGTGAACTAGAGGTGTGAATAATAATCGTTTTGTATCGATGCGTCGATCCAACAGCCGACGATCCGATGCATCGATACGTCCGCAAGAGAATCTATTAATGTTTTTTATTTCCTCTGGTCTATTTTTATCCATTTGCTCCTGGGCGTAATTCTTCCTCCCGTGCTGCGGTGGCGCTAAACCTATTTTGCCCTCCTACCTCGCTTCCTGGTTATACTCTTACAGCAGTGTGTTGCAGTGAGCTTGATGCAGACATTTTTGATTTATGCTCAATATTGAAGCGTGGTCTGTGCTACACGCTGTGGGTCTAGATACGGCCGAGGCGGCGAGGAAGTGGGGGCGAGTTTAGTCCGACGACGGAGGGACATGAGGGCCAAAAAGAGCGGAGATCCAGGTGGAAAAAGGTTCCCAGGGTTCCCGCGCACCTCGCTCTTCTAGCGGGTCAAACTTCAAGAGTCGTTTTCCGCAATTTTGGTCATAAAAACAAAACAAGCCGGCCTCCTGTCTGCGGTCAGCTACAATTTGGGAGAGGAGCAGCGGAGCGTCTGTGGAGGGGGCGGAGTCTGGAGCCGAGGTATTGAATTGCACTCATTGCACTGATTATGTGCAGGATTTTTTGATGCAAAGCCTTTCAGAATCTATAACGCAGGGGATTATTATTTTTCAGTGAATGAGCTTTTAAAAGAAATAGGTGGAGTACAACTTTTCTACTTCTGTTATTTGCTGTAGTTTCTCAAATAAAATGCATAACGATATTACAGCTTTCATTGATTTATTTCAAATTCGAAACATTATCTAGCCTGTAAGGTCTAAAAAAAAGAAAAGAAAAAAAAATGAACCAATTAATCGAATCGTATCGTGGTGTATTCTTGAGTATTGAAAATAATCGAATCGTTGGGTCAGGAAATCGATACTGAATCGAATCGCCATGATGGATGTGATTTACACCCCTAGTGTGAACTCATTCTTATCTCTTATGATCTTCGTTTGGAGCCTGAGAGGCGAAGAACGAATATATCTCAACGTTTTTTACTCCACACCTGCAATACACGAAACCTGTCTCTGAAAGGGGGGTCGATAGAGGAAAATGTTGGCCTGTCTGAACAGGTGAGGTCCTCAGCTGTCCTGTAACGGGGGTGGAGGTGGGGCAAAATCGGATTCGGCGTGTTCTCAGGCCTTCAGCTTCTTATGAGCCCAGTTCCCTGTAGGAATGGCCCCTAGCCAGTGGGCCTCAGCAGATGGCCGCTCACACTGAGTCTGGTTCTGCTGGAGGTTTCTTCCTGTTCAAAGGGAGTTTTTCCTCTCCACTGTCGCTACAAGCATGCTTAGTGTGAGGGATTGCTGAAGAGTCAATGAGTCGATGCAATCAGCTGGTTTTCCTTAGATAGAAAACTTTGAATCAATCTGACTGGATGATCTGGTGAACTGGAAAGTGACCTGAGATGACATGATGGGAATTGGAGCTATAGAAATAAACTGAATAGAATTGATAATAGTCGGTGATGCATGTTGTTGTTGCAGGATGCAGAGGTGGATCTGTACGTGGGCGTCGCCAGGTGTCTGTCTGAGATGTCCGACACAGAGATCGACAGAATCGTTCAGGTCTCGCAGGTCGGGGTTTTTTTCTGCAGTCTGTTATTAAATGAAAAGCGGCGTCGATGGGGATGAAGCTGAGCTCCTCTCTGGTTCCTTCAGGCTCAGATGGAGAAGACCTGTTTTGTCCTGGCGTACCTGACCTCTCAGGGCAGGGTTCCCCTCCTCAGCCTCAACGATGTGATCGGCGGGGTGCTGCGGGGTTGGCCCGGCTGCAGAGTGGGCTGGATCCTCCTGCAGGCTCTGTACCAGTGCCGCCTGGCTGCCGGCGCCGCTACAGGTCAGCGAGGAAAACCTGCGGGCGTGACGCTAAGCTGAACCAGTGCCTGATGGAGCCAGGTTTGCTTTTCCTTCCAGGTGTTTCCAAACGAATGGAGTGGCTGCTGGAGCTGATGGGACACATCCGGAACATCGGCTATGGGAACACATCCGTCTCCTGTGGAGACTCCAAACTGGTACGTCTCTGAGCCTCCCAGTAATCTGGGCCCATCTGCTTCTTCCCACAAGTTTGGGCTCGTTGCTGCTTGTCTCTCCTGAATCTTCTTGTCCTTCAGGTTTTTTTTCCTTCCGTTCTGGGAGGGACTCAAGTTTCTATTGAACACAAACCAGAAGAATCTCAGTAATCATTCAGTATGGAGTGAATTTTGTTCCATTATTGTAAGAAAAAAAAAAAAAAGCAGATTATGTAAATGGAAACTTAAAGTATTTCCAGTATTAAACCTTGAAAGAACTTCATAGTCAAAATAGGTTTTGAAAGTAACTTTGTTGTTTTCTCAAATGTTCTTTTTTCATATTTTTTTATTTTCATCTTTTATACTTCCCTATTTTCAAATGGTATTCTTTCTATTTCTTTGTTTTATATTGATATTTACAAATTTACGGAAGAGGATTAGGGCCACTGGGAAAAAAAAAAAAAAGTTAACTGATTTTTACATTTTATTTCAGTTTAATATGGGAAAAAAAAAGTCAGAATTCTGACTTTAATCTCAGACTTTTGGATCTTAATGTAGATGGGCACCATGAAGGAAGAGATGTGGAGCACTCAGCTTCACTGACAAAGATGTGAGTTGTTTGAGGTGGCCAGTGACACATTGGTGGAAAATGACGGAATTAGGCAACTTTTTACGTGCCTGAGGGATCCCCTCATTAATGGAGGAGCAGAAGGTCATTAGAACAAGAGAGCTAGTCTCTAAAACAGACATGGCTACGGCTTCATGCTAACATGTTTGTTAGCTGGCAGAATTCTGAGAAAAAAGTCAGAATTCTGAGATAAAAAGTCAGAATTCTGAGTTAAAAAGTCAGAATTATGAGAAAAAAGTCAGAATTCTGAGATTTAAGTCAGAATTCTGAGATAAAAAGTCAGAATTATGAGAAAAAAGTCAGAATTCTGAGATTTAAGTCAGAATTCTGAGAAAAAAGTCAGAATTATGAGAAAAAAGTCAGAATTCTGCGAAAAAAGTCAGAATTCTGAGATTAAAGTCAGAATTCTGAGATTAAAGTCAGAATTCTGAGAAAAAAGTCAGAATTCTGAGATTAAAGTCAGAATTCGGAGATTAAAGTCAGAGTTCTGAGATAAAAAGTCAGAATTCTGAGATTAAAGTCAGAATTCGGAGATTAAAGTCAGAGTTCTGAGATAAAAAGTCAGAATTCTGAGATTAAAGTCAGAATTCTGAGATTAAAGTCGGAATTCTGAGAAAAGTCAGAATTCTGAGAAAAAAGTTAGAATTCTGCGAAAAAAGTCAGAATTCTGCGGAAAAAGTCTGAATTCTGAGATTAAAGTCAGAATTCTGAGATTAAAGTCAGAATTCTGAGAAAAAAGTCAGAATTCTGAGATTAAAGTCAGAATTCTGAGATTAAAGTCGGAATTCTGAGAAAAAAGTCAGAATTCTGCGAAAAAAGTCAGAATTCTGCGAAAAAAGTCTGAATTCGGAGATTAAAGTCAGAATTCGGAGATTAAAGTCAGAATTCTGAGATTAAAGTCAGAATTTGGAGATAAAAAGTCAGAATTCGGAGATTAAAGTCAGAATTCGGAGATTAAAGTCAGAATTCTGAGAAAAAAGTCAGAATTCTGAGATTAAAGTCAGAATTCGGAGATAAAAAGTCAGAATTCGGAGATTAAAGTCAGAATTCTGAGATAAAAAGTCAGAATTCTGAGATTAAAGTCGGAATTCTGAGAAAAGTCAGAATTCTGAGAAAAAAGTCAGAATTTTGCGGAAAAAGTCTGAATTCTGAGATTAAAGTCAGAATTCTGAGAAAAAAGTCAGAATTCTGAGAAAAAAGTCAGAATTCTGAGATTAAAGTCAGAATTCTGAGATGAAAGTCGGAATTCTGAGAAAAAAGTCAGAATTCTGAGAAAAAAGTCAGAATTCTGCGAAAAAAGTCTGAATTCTGAGATTAAAGTCTGAATTCTGAGATTAAAGTCAGAATTCTGAGATTAAAGTCAGAATTCTGAGATTAAAGTCAGAATTCTGAGAAAAAAGTCAGAATTCTGAGATTAAAGTCAGAATTCGGAGATAAAAAGTCAGAATTCGGAGATTAAAGTCAGAATTCGGAGATTAAAGTCAGAATTCTGAGAAATAAGTCAGAATTCTGAGATTAAAGTCAGAATTTTGAGAAAAAAAGTCAGAATTCTGAGATTAAAGTCAGAATTCTGAGATTAAAGTAAGAATTCTGAGAAAAAAGTCGGAATTCTGAGATTAAAGTCAGAATTCTGAGATTAAAGTCAGAATTCTGAGAAAAAAGTCGGAATTCTGAGATTAAAGTCAGAATTCTGAGATTAAAGTCTACTTTTTCTGACTTTTTTTTCAGCATTCTGACTTTTTTCCCATATTTAAACTGAAATAAATTTCAAAATCAGTTAACTTTTTTTTTTTTTTTTTTTTTTAAGTGGCCCTAATCCTCTTCCATACAACTTACATTCCTTTCAAATGTATGAAGCAAATTTTGTTCCATTGGGGCACATTTTGTAAATAATTATTTGTAAATAAAACAGGTTTTGTAAATTAAATAAAAAAAAAAAATCCAGAAAAAAAAACTTTGAACTATTTTATAATAAAAAAGTGAGACCAATAGAAATGCTGTTGCTAGAATCCAGCAGACCAACGGAAATGCATCTTTGTGTCTCACTCCAGAGCAAAGCCCCGCCCCCAGAAATAGAAAACAATGAACGTCCTAAAACTCTTTTTTTTTTTCTTCAAATTCCTGCTTAAAAACTTGTTTGCAAAAAATATGAAGCAGAATTAACTCCATACCTGGTGAATTACTGGGATATAAATGTGTGACTCCGCCCCTTTAACAGTGGTTAACTGTTGCTGCTTTGTGTTGGATTGTGAAAGTCTACAGGGTATGAATACTTTTTCAAGGCGCTGCCTCTCATGACTTCCTGTTGACTCAAGTCCAACCGTACGCCGTTTTCTTTTTTTTTATTTGCAGGCGACAGACTTCCTGTTCCAGCTCTTTGCCGCCGCCGTCGTTTCCTGGGGCGACCGCTTCATGCCCGTCCTCTATGGCCTCAGGTCCCAGTGGTTCCCGTGGCAACCGGAATCCAAGCCTCCGCTGCTGACGCACAGTTTGTACGGAGCGGATCCGCTCAGCGACCTCGCTCTGCCGCAGTGCCTGCTGGGAGTTCACCACAGCCTGCCGCTGCTGCTGGACAAGGAGCCGTGGAGCGGCCAGAGGCACAAGGTGAGGGAACGGACGCCGCAGATCCATCCGACTGAGATGATTTAATCAAGCATGACGTCTGTGTTTGTCTGTTAGTTCATAGACTGGCTCCTCAGCATCTCAGAAGGTCCTGAGGAGAACATTTCAGCGACCGCCGTCGGCTCAGCCAGAGGTAAACAGGCGTTTCTCTGTGGTGTCAAAGCTTCAGCTGAACAGAACGCTTCACGTCCCTAAAGTAAAAACCCCGGTTATGTTTGCAGCGACGTTAAGCCCTGTGCTGATTTTCCTCGCTGTACGCGTACTTCTGCTCACCTCTAGGGGGCAGTGCAGGTCAGAGTTCAGCCAAAGGTCACATATCTGCACGCTTTGCGAACAATTCATTCTTGTGTATTCGATACCATGAGACTCCCAATATGTCCCAGAGTTCATGCTCCTATACATGGAGCTGTTTGTAAAATCAACTTTTATCTTTTTGATTGTGGAAATAACATACCTGTGATTGGTTACTTGACAGGAAGCCCCGCCTCTTGCGACAGTCCTGTTTTTGTTTTGTTTGTTTCATAAGCAAAATATCTTTAGGATGATCGCGCTTCTCTTAAGCCTCCAGATCATCTTATTTGCCTGCTTAAATTAAAAGCAAATGCAGTTAGTTTCTGAAATTTTAATTTACCGTATTGTCTGGACTATAGAGGCACCTCACTATAAGCCACGCCCATTTTTTTTTTTTTTAAGCTGGAAATGTACATATATAAGCCTCACCTCACTATAAGCTGCTGATATCTACTGAACTCCCCCTGGAACAGGGACGAAGTAGAATGCTACCTCCCGTTAGCTTGTTAGCTCGCAGCAGTTAGCGCTTCTACTGAAAGATGGAGCTTCATCAGCTCTTTATTTCAACTCTGGACAAGTTAAGCTCTCTCTCTTCATTAGTTTAGCTGCTTTAATGCAGCAAATAAATGTCAAAATGTGGGAATTTGTTCTCCAGCGTACCTGCTGCTAGCATTTTTTTTTTCAATTAGCCCCAACTTTGAATTGCCCCTCTAGTGGTTCGGAAAATTCCACAGAAAAGCTGCAGCTTCTTATAAGCCGCATGGTTCAAAGTGTAGGAAAAAAGTAGTGGCTTATAGTCCAGAAAATACGGTATTTCTAAATGATTTTTTGTGCGGTGATTGGCTCCTGGTTGCTATGGTTACCTGCTGGCACCATGGACCTCATCCTAGGCTGATGTCCAGTTTAGGTTCACAGTGGAGGAGGATATTTTTACATTAGATTAGCATCTCCAGCAGAAAACTGTCTCTGTAAGGCACGTTTTTACGAAGCAGGACAAAAACCAGACCAAACACTGAGACTAATTGATGCATCGCTCTTTATTTAAACATCCTGAGGATTTTAAGTTTCCTTTTCTTCCTTAATCATTAGTTTGGAGTCAAGTTGAAGAAGCGAGAACAAAACCTCCTTCTGAAACAAAAGGAAAAAAGCAGCCAGAGAAACCCTCAAACCTTTTTCAGCCTGTAAACACCTGGTCTTAGAAGGTATGGAGTGATTTTTGTTCCATTATTGTTTCAAACAAAGAACAAGTTTAAAAACAAATAAAAATGTAAAAAAAAACAATGTCTTAATAAAAAAAAACAGTTTTGAGAGAAACTGCAGTTTTTTTATATATGTATATTTTTTTCATATTTCACTTATTCAAACTTTATAATTACTTTTTTTGTCAGACATTCTCTTATGAATTTGTATTTTCAAATTGAACTTTTTTAAATGAACGAACTACATTCCTTTACAGACTTCCTTTTCCAGATCACATTGTCTTCGCTTGAGGAGTTCTAGGTAGATAATAATGACAGATGAAAACAGGTTTCTTTATGTTACATGTGAAAATGTGTATATCTATCTATATATATATATATATATATATATATATATATATATATATACATATGTATGTATATATATATCTATCTATATATATATATATATATAGATAGATAGATATATATAGATATATACATATGTATATCTATATCTATCTATATATAGATATATATATATATATAGATATACATATGTATATATCTATATATATATATATATATAGATAGATAGATAGATATAGATATATACATATGTATATCTATATCTATCTATATATATATCTATCTATATATATCTATATATATAGATAGATATATACATATGTATATCTATATATATATATATATATATATAGATATACATATGTATGTAGATATATATATAGATATATATATATAGATATATATATATATATATATATAGATATACATATGTATGTATATATATATAGATATCTATATATATCTATCTATATATCTATATATAAATATATATATATATAGATATAGATATACATATGTATGTATATATATATATATCTATATATATAGATATTTATATATAGATAGATATATATATATATAGATATGTATATATATATATACATATATATATCAGTGAAATCAAGTGTTTTCAGACTTCTTTACATGTCGACAGGGATGTCGGTTCACCGTTTATGAGCAAGGCACTTTAATCTTCCTGGTACAGTTTGATTTTCAGAACTAAATCACATAAAAATTATCATTTAGTATTTTTATTATTATTTATTGTAACAATTTTCATTTTTGTGTGAGTTTATCTTTTCTTTAATGGGAGGGGATGCAAACTTTTCAGCACAACTTTATGTTTCTATCATTATTTTTTATTCTTTATAAAATCTAAGAAAACAGCAAAGTTACTCTCAAAACTATTTTTTCAAATTTCCATTTATGAAATGTGTTCTTTCATGCAACAATAATGGGACAGAATTGACCCCATATGAGGTGGGTTTCAGACTGTTTGGACCTGGACAGTCTCAGCAGAACCTGGTCCAGTCATGGATAGAGTTCCCTGGTTTTTTTTGCAATAAGCTGCAGATGCCTGATTCTGTCCTGGGAACTTCTGTAGATCAGCTGAATGAACATCCGTTGCTTTCGGAGCTCAGAGGTAGATCGTAACGTTTAAATGCTGAGTTTGCACTCTGCTGGCCGTCATCCACAGGAAAAGTTGATCTCCTCCATGTTCTGCTCTTGTTCCAGCGGCTCTCCTGAGTCTGAAGTCCTCCTCCGAGTTCAGGAAGAAGGCGGTGTGGACCAGAGCGTACGGCTGGTAGCGCAGAGGAAGCCGCCGTCTCATCCGTCCGACTCGGCAAACAGCAGAGACTCTTTTTTTTTTTTTTTTTCACTTAGACACAGATGAGTGAGGAATTTACCGACTTCATTAAAACCGCTTGAGAAAAAAAAATGTTGCATTTTGTGTCCATCCTTCTTTACAGTCTTCGGTTCTCAAACGCGTTTAAACGCATCGTCTCTTTAACCACATCGATCCAACTCGCTCATTTCTTCTTCTTCCTCTTGAAGCGTTTCTCCAGATGGTGTTTCCTCTCCTTCAGCAGCTGCCAGACCGTCAGTGAGGCTCCTGCAGGAGATTTATGTCATGCATTAATTGTTAAGTAATGCTAAATTAGCTTTTTAGCAAAGGATAACGACTTTTTTGTTGTAAAACATTTTAAACTGAATCTGCGGCCTGTGAACTGATCCAGGGTGACCCCCACCACTCTGCTTATATACGCCTCAGCTTTAACTTCACAGATCAGCTCTATTTTCCTCTCTTTTTATCAGGATTCAAAGTAAAAGTCTGGTCTTATTCAGAATTCAAACTTCTGAAAGTACTTTAAGTATGAAATGATTACATACTGTTTTATAAATTAACCGTCCAGCGGCAAAAGTTAAATTTTTCTGAACATTGAACGCACCGCTGGACCTCTTTGCATAAAGATCTCTCTTTGATGCCCAAAACGCGCCTGGTTTGAATGCACCATTACTGCCATTCACTAGAGGGCGCCCCTGTTCAATCTTAAGCAGAGGCTAACTGGTAGAGAGGAAGTGATGGAGCAGAATGCGAAAACAAAAACGAGAATCGCTCCAGAGTCCATTCCAGGATTATTTACACAGGAAAAGTCTGGTCTTATTCAGAATTCAAACCTCTGAAAGTACTTTAAATACTTTAAATAATTCTAAAATTAATCTATATTCCAGCATTGTATCTGTAATCCGGTGAGCGGCGTATGGAGGGACAGTCTGCTAGCAAAGATAAAACGTGCTAATCTAGTCTAAAAAGGTGGAGAAAAAAAAAAGCTACAAGTTAAACTCCTCCCAGCCAGTAAGTGGCGCTCTCCTGTGCTCTCGTTCTGGATTTTACTAGATGATTTTCGGACCCTCTAATGCTAATGGTTAGCATTAGCAGATATATTAGCTTACCTGTGCTAAAGGGAAGCAGGTGTATTGAAGTATTGGCTTCTCAGCGTCTCTGCATCCTTAAGTACGATCGCTAAAGAGCCGACATTCACCCTTCTTTTGTTTCGTTTTTGTCTTAAATCTAAGAAATTTAACGCAAAACTAATATCCCCACTGGTGCAGAATCAGAAGTAAATATTTTGAAAGTTAATATTATTATGCTGCACCACTCCAGACACTTTGTAGATTTAGTTTTTGAGAAATAAATCATTTTTATGAAAAATTTATTTATGAACTAAAGCGAAGGTCTTCCACAGGGGGTCCCCACCCCCTAGGGGATCCATGGAGGTACTGCATGGGGGTCCTGAAAGTTTTGATTAATTAGACTTTTTTTTTTATATTCCCTCCTGCAATTTTTTCCACTAATTGAAATGTCTTTAAATCCACATGAACATGAATTCAACAGACTGTAGTAAACAGATAAATGGAGGCAGAAGATGTCTTTCAGTCATCAATGCTCACATTCAGCGACACACAGGAGCTCTTTCAAGCTGGACACCGTTTCATTCACAACACCTGTCCCATCAACCAGGAATCAGAATCAGAAATACTGAAACTACTTTAGTTACATTACTCCATCTATACTATAGGACCAGTTTATTAGAACACAATTTCATACAATATATATAATTAGAGGGTCCCTGCTCCATCTCGCCATCAGTTTGGGGGTCCTTGGCCTGGAAAACGTTAAAGACCTCTGCACTAAAGGACTATTTACTACCATAATAAGGAATGGTGACCCTTAATATGACAGAACGAAAGTTTTCTCTTGTCAAGGTTCCTGCAGGTCCTTAAAAAGTCTTAAAAGGCATTGACTTCTTCAAAATAAAACTAAGGCCTTAATTGGTATTAAAAAGTCTTAAATCAGTCTTTCGTAGGTCTTAATGTTTAAAACATCATAAATAGGATCGTTTTTATTACGATTTATTTTTGTAATCTACCGTAAATAAAACATTAAAATTGACAATTTTTTAAAATTTAAAATAAATAACGGCTCGCCATTATTGGATCCGTCCCGATAGCGGAACCAATAAAGCGTTGTTGCGGCCGGGACATTTGGGAGATGCACCATTAACTTTTTGTCTGGAAAATATGAGCAAGTGTAAATGTAACCAAAATTGTCTCCAGCCAAGAGTTTTCTCCACGGCTAAAACCAGGGAACATACATGAGGCTCAGTGGATTTAGTGCAAGAAGTCATTCAAGCTCAGAACGATGGGAATTAAGGCAGTGGAGTCGCACATGCGAAGCACGAAACACAAAGCGTCAAAATGGAGTTACAGAGAAACAGCCGGTATTTCTCAGTTTAGTTCCACCCTTGTCTCTGCAACGCCTCCACTTATCACCAAATCAAACATACTAAGAAAACCATACAAAGAAAAATAGCTGCAAACAAGACTTAGCACTGGTTATGTTGGGGCTTTAAAACTGATTTGTTTTGTTCCCTGCTAAAACAAAGTTTGTGAATTCAGTTAAATAATTGTTCAAATATATCTGTCATTTGGGTGTTTTTAGCTTTCTTTCTGTATGGGAAGCTTTTCAACATTTGAAACATTAGTGCAGTGGTTTATGTTAAAATAAACCTTTGGGTTAAGTTGTCGCAAGCAAGTTTTTCTTGTGAATTTGGTCTTAAATTTTTATTTAAAGTGGCATTAAAAAGTCTTAAAAAGTCTTGAATTTAACTTGCATATGCTGTAGGAACCCTGCTTGTGTTGAATTCTATGTTTTAGGAGAATTTCTACTGGGACCCCAACTGTTTTATCCCTTTTAATGAACTAAAACACCGAAATATTTCCTTTTATATTGAGAAATAATGTTAGTTTTTTTGCCTCCAGAGTTTCTGGACGGAAGATGTGAAGAAGGTTTTCGGAGTGACATTGCATTCAGAGACAGACAGATATCTGCTGGAAGCATCCAGAAGGTTCTCTACTGTGTTTTTTCATTGAAGTCATCCCATTATTTTTCTTTTTTACATTAGCGGAGAGGATCCATAGTGTTAATACCTGCCATCTGTGAGCAGTGCTGTTGCAGATTGCGGCCATCTTTGGGACCTGCAGATTAAATCTCCTCTAAACTTCCCACAATACCAGAAAAACGTTGGAAATTTTAGTAAATCACAACATTCCCACTAATAACATGAGCAGGAGAGGTTCGGTGGTTCTTATTCTGGATCTTAGAAGATAAAGTCAATATAATTCGTGTTTTCGATCGAGCCGCTTCGTTTCTTTCTTACCCACGGTGAGAAGCGACAGGTAGAGCATCAGCAGGAAGGGGAGATGAATATAAGCTGAGCTGGAGGCTGACGGCTCCATGTACGGCATGGCCTGATAAACGGTGACACCTGAGGAAGAAAGAGATCCAGGCTCAGCTTCACCTGACTGACCAGGTACCCACTGCCACACAAACACTCTCTAAACATCAAGTTTTAAATCTTTCTACAGATTTGAAGGCTTTTTTTTTAACAGGACTTTGACATGGATCTGTTTTGATCTAATTCTGAGCAGCTTTGCTGTTCCTGCTGAAGAGAACTATCCCCACAGCATGACTCTGCTGCCGTCGTGTTTGACTGAGAACACTATATTAACAAAGATGTGCAATCTGTCAGTTTTTTTACCCATATGGTTCTAATTGATCAGTTTTGTTCTTATCTGGTCATAAAACAAACTCATGTTTGCTTCATGGATTATAGAAAGTAGAACTTCTGATGCCTTTTTTTCACCCATAGCTTTCCTTTGGACCTTTTCCGTTTAATTCAGATTCAAAATAAGGAATAAAGTTTTCCCTCCTTGAAACTACTCAGAGGGATATTAATGTAAAATCAATTTTATTACATCCCTTTTTCTTTCTTCAATCACATAAAACCCTAACGAAATACAGGGCGACTTCTGTTTGTAAAGAGACAAAATGTGGAACATCTTTGCAGGATCTATGAGGATACATTTCCAAAGCACGGCAGGTATTCCAGGTTTGAAGAGACTCACCTTCATTGGCAACAGACAGGATGTATAACGGGATCCAAAGAGAGTAACGGAGCCACAACATGGAAATGGAGGGTCTCTCCATAACGCACAGGAGCTCATGCGGGTATCTGCCATCACATAAAGCAGACAGAAGGTAAAGGGCAATGCAGAGTGATGAGGGAAATGTGTAAACATTACAGTTGCTAATATCCTCTGGGGTGGATTTCTACACTGATCCACTTCCTCTAACTGCACTGCAACCAAAGGAACAAGAGTAGAATTACAGCCGGTGTTCTGTCAGGCCGGCATACCGCGTCAGGCTGGCATACATTTAGTAAAACACATTACATAGTTTCCTCTGTCACGCTGTTTTATTTCCCGATTTAGTCCGATTTTTGTTGTCGTTTTGTTCATAAAACAACAACAAAAGTCCATCACTACGTCCACTACACACATTAGATTAAAAAAAAAAAACATTTATAGGGAGAGGATTCTACAACTCAGATGATTTGTTTTATTAAGTTTACAGGTGCTGGTCATAAAATTAGAATATCATGAAAAAGTAGATTGATTTCAGTAATTCCATTTAAAAAGTGAAACTTGTATATTATATGCATACATTACATACAAACTCATATATTTCAGATGTTTATTTTGTTTAATTTTGATGATTACAAATGACAACAAATGAAAATCTCAAATTCATCATATCAGAAAATTAGAATATTACTGAAGACCAATAAAAACAAAGGATTTATAGAAATGTTGGCCAACTGAAAAGTATGAACATGAAAAGTATGAGCATGTACAGCACTCAGTATTTAGTTGGGCCTCCTTTGGCCTGTATTACTGCAGCAATGCGGCGTGGCATGGAGTCGATCAGTCTGTGGCACTGCTCAGGTGTTATGATAGCCCAGGTTGCTCTAATAGTGGCTTTTAGCTCTTCTGAATTGTTGGGTCTGGTGTATTGCATCTTCTTCTTCACAATACCCCATAGATTTTCTATGGGGTTAAGGTCAGGAGAGTTTGCTGGCCAATTAAGAACAGGGATACCATGGTCCTTCAACCAGGTACTGGTAGCTTTGGCACTGTGTGCAGGTGCCAAGTCCTGTTGGAAAATGAAATCTGCATCTCCAAAAAGTTGGTCAGCTGCAGGAAGCATGAAGTGCTCTAAAACTTCCTGGTATGTGGCTGCGTTGACCCTGGACCTCAGAAAACACAATGGACCAACACCAGCAGATGACATGGCACCCCAAACCATCACTGACTGTGGAAACTTTACACTGGACTTCAAGCAACGTGGATGAAGTGCCTCTCTTCTTTTCCTCCAGACTCTGGGACCTTGATTTCCAAAGGAAATGCAAAATTTACTTTCATCAGAGAACATGACTTTGGACCACTCACCAGCAGTCCAGTCCTGTTTCTCTTTAGCCCAGGCAAGACGCTTCTGACGCTGTCTGTGGTTCAAGAGTGGCTTGACACAAGGAATGCGACAGCAGAAACCCATGTCTTTCATACGTCTGTGTGTGGTGGTTCTTGAAGCACTCACTCCAGCTGCAGTCCACTCTTTGTGAATCTCCCCCACATTTTTGAAGGGGTTTTGTTTCACAATCCTCTCCAGGGTGCGGTTATCTCTCTTGCTTGTACACTTTTTTCGACCACATCTTTTCCTTCCCTTCGCCTCTCTATTAATGTGCTTGGACACTGAGCTCTGTGAACAGCCAGCCTCTTTAGCGATGACCTTTTGTGTCTTGCCCTCCTTGTGCAAGGTGTCGATGGTCGTCTTTTGGACAACTGTTAAGTCAGCAGTCTTCCCCATGATTGTGTAGCCTATAGAACTAGACTGAAAGACCATTTAAAGGCTTTTGCAGGTGGTTTGAGTTAATTAGCTGATTAGAGTGTGGCACCAGGGGCCATCAATTTTGAACCTTTTCACAATATTCTAATTTTCTGATATGATGAATTTGAGATTTTCATTTGTTGTCATTTGTAATCATCAAAATTAAACAAAATAAACATCTGAAATATATGAGTTTGTATGTAATGTATGAATATAATATACAAGTTTCACTTTTTAAATGGAATTACTGAAATCAATCTACTTTTTCATGATATTCTAATTTTATGACCAGCACCTGTATGTAATATGATTTAATTTTTATTAATTTTTGTTCACAGTACATGAAGAACTACTACAATTATTTTCAGATTACATTTAAATTGATTAATTAATTCCGCGGTGGGAAAGGAATTACTTTAGGATTACGATTCATTTGGTGACAGGGGCGGATCTAGGATTCTAGGATCAGGGGCTTAGCTCTGAGGGTGTAGATGAGAGTGTAGACCAACTTTTTTAAAGCTGAGGGCTACTTTATGGGTACTGAGTCATAGGACGGGCTACCAATACTGACCTATGAACTAGAGGAGTCTGCGTTCACCTGAACTTCATAGATAATCAACATATTTCTATTGTTTCTTTTCATTTTTAATTTGCTTTTAGATATTCTCAATATGAAATCCATATAAATCATCAAATGTTCTAATTTATTGATATGATAAAATGCTTCATAAATGCTTCAAAATAAGAGCTTCAGTAAAAAATAATATTTCAGATTTAGTCCACTGGTGAATTTCCAAAGATGCTGAGGGCACCCCATGTTGTCCTTGAGGGCCCCTTGGTGCCCACGGGCCCCACGTTGGTGACCCCTGGTGTAGACTTTCTGGTAAATCCTATTCTAATGTAAAATATGACAGATTACCAGATTAAGGAACTTTCTAGTACACGACATGCTATCAGATATAACAATTTTTCAGAATTTGGAAACAGTTGCTCTTTATTTCCCAAAGATATGGGAGGAGGAGAGAATGGATATTTCAGCTGAATTAAATCATCTGTTCCTCCTCCATAACATGGGAAGAAATAAATTTACCTGCATAACTTTACCTGTGTTTATTCCTCTCTTCATCAACAACAAATTCTATGGATTTTAAAACTCATAATTTTTCTATATTATGTTTCAAATATTTATTATTTTATATTTTGAAATCCAAAATGGTTAAAATAAATATGACAGTTGGTTTGATGATCTTTATAAATGGATGGAAAACGAAACATCTTCAAACTTGGAAAACAAAGTCCAGTATTTTTGGTTTGTCACGTCACAGTTAAACATCCTCCGTTAGTGCTACACTTACTGAATATATAAAATTAATCATTTTGCCCCTTTACAAAAAATAAAATAAAATTTAAATATATTAATCTAGTGAAACCAACAACAGAAAACCTGATCCAGCTCCTGCCTCTGAACAAGATTTGTTTTCTCATCTGACCTGTAAGTCCATTCTATACGGAGGAGGATTAGGGCCAGTGGAAAAAAAAAAAAAAAAGTTAACCGATTTTTACATTTTATGTCAGTTTAGTATGGGAAAAAAGTCAGAATTCTGACTTTTTTCTCAGAATAATGACATTTTTCTCAGAATTCTGACTTTTTTATTGTCAGAATTCACTCAGAATTCTGAGAAAAAAGTCAGAATTCTTTTTTTTTCCCATGTTAAACTGAAATAAAATTTAAAAATCAGTTCACTTTTTTTTTTTCAGTGGCCCTAATCCTCTTCCGTAATTCTATGTATGTTTGTTTGTGGTGTTTTTTATGCAATTGTAGGACTTTAGTTGTGTATTGGCTCCTATGTTGTTTTTTTTCTTTTGTTTATTCACAGCTCTTGCTGTGGGGCGATTTATATTGGAGCCATTCTACCTTGGATAAAAATGGACATTTATTTTGTGGGGAAGAATTTTGTGATTATTTTTTGATGGCTATATATTAAATTTTTCTTTCTCAAATACAAGAACTGTTAAGCCAAATGTTTTGTTGGTGTATTTGTGAAAAGTTTTCGTTCATTATTTGAAGGGTCTACACACAGAAGTGTCTGGTTCTTTTGTGACTGGTTTAAAAAAGGAGGGATACCTGACTGGAATCGCTAAAACAGTGACAAACACCCAGTAAAAAAAAAAAAACTACAACCAAAATAATTAACCTTGTAAAACCCTCACAAACTTTTGATTTGGAATATTTGTAAATTGTTAGGTGAACATTTAAACAGAAAAAAGATTTCAAAAAGATAATCAAAGGGGAAACAGCTTATTTCAGTTAGCTAAAATCTATGGTTCCTCTCCTTCAGTTTAGGCAAATAATCATCAAATGTCACCAAATCTAGAGGATTTGTTGTTGATGAAGAGAGGAATAAAGGTACATTAATTGCTTCCCATGTTATGAAGGAGGAACAGATTATTAAATTCAGCTGAAATATCCATTCTCTCCTCTCCTCCTCCCATATCTATGGAAAATAAAGAGCACATGAAACCGGAAATCTATCAGAAGCGCCGTGAAGATGCACGCTCCCAAAACGGGAGGAACAGAATTTCGCACAAGACCTCAACAGCTTCGCATACCTGTGACATCAGTCTGTTTAGCTGCTGGTGCAGTGGGCTGCTTTGTGAAAAAGCTTCTGATATTCATTGATTTCCGCTGCTGGCCCGTTTAAAATTTGCAGCGAAGGCGCTAGACTCCTAAAAGCTAGCAGCGACGAGAGGGAAACACTTCTTTTCTGCACGGGAATGCTACAGGCTGCTTTCCTGCACAAGCTTCCACCCTTTGGTAAAATCCAGTTCTGCACATTTTACTCAGATCAGCTCAGATGCGAGACCCGGGGCTCTTGGGGAAACATCAGGGGCTGTAGCCCTCGTAGCTGCCCCCCCTAGATCCGCCACTGCTTGGTGATAACAGCCTACTGGCACAATCTGAAGCCATTCTATAGGCCTGCTAACCACTACTAACAATCGCATGCGTATTACTGAGGGTATGCTGGGCTGACAGAACACCGGTGAGACGAACAAAAGACGGTTTGGACTAAACAATTACTTAGGAAATACTTTAGGCCCTGTGACTAAAAGATTAATAAATTGTGTTGTTTGATAAAGAAATAATGATTTCATCCTTATATCAGAAGTAGACAGAGTCAGGAATAACACTGTAAAAACAGTTATCTGTTAAACCATAGATATCAAGTTGTGACAGAGAGAAGCTGATATGTTGAACCTTTCTACACAGATTAGGGAGGAAGCATCATGTTATAACAGAATCAAAACTGAGAATGTTTCAGTTTTTTTTTTTGTGTGTTCATTTTCTGCTCCTCCACATTAGGCCCGAGTAATTCAGTTAACAGAATGAATGCATCAGGTGTGCATTACAATGTGGGCACTTCCTTTTCAAACACCAGTGTAAGAGCCAGACATGCTGCGCAGTGGATTTAGTATCATGTAATGGATTCTCTTCTAGAGACACTATTTCCATCATGAGCTCATTTTCATCTACAGTGGATCTCGGGGTAGGTGATGTAGTAGCTGGCAAATCATAGGGCAGGGGGTGATGTTGTAAATGTTGTAGTCAAGGGTTTGGATGTCACAAATGAGACCTCACATTAATGTCGGTTTGGAAATCCATTGTATCCCGGAGAGAATTTACCCATGCTAACATCCCGGACTAGACCCCAATTTTGCCCCTACCTGAAATATCAAGTAGGGATTACGAAGGGTGACATCAAAATATCAGGAGACCATTAAGATGATTTATACTCTGTTTTTAGACAGTTTTTAACTGGAGCTATTATTCTTTATTGACAAACAAACAAATATAAAGCTCTGTAATGTTTAGTTTATTTAAAATGACTGTCCCCAGATGGGTCTTTAATTCTAGAACTGTTCTACACAAAACGGCTGGAGCAGGAAGAAGAAAGAGAAGACGAAAATTCAAGTCTTCACTTCCATCAATTATGGGCAATATGAGATCTTTACAGAGGCAAGTTTGGAAAAACAATTTCCTTTAGCTACGACTAACCCAGAATATTAGGAATGCAGTATTGTGTGTTTCACTGAAACATGGCTGCAGGATCATATTAAAGACTTGGCAGTCTCTCTGGCTTCCTGTCCACATTGTCATCAAGGATTTGGTACTATAATATTTTGTCTCTGCAGCCCAGCTATTGAAAAGTTGGCAGTAAATCTACTTTTATGTTGTTTATTCAAATGTTCCCTATTCTTATTTTCTAAACTAGTCACTCTGAAACTCCATGGAATGAAATCATCACTTTCAACGTTTTGCTAGCTGCAAATCTTTGCACTTTCCCTATGCAACTGTCAAGGATTCATAGAACTATAAAACAGGACAACCACTTGCCAGCTCAACATCTTGTTTTTCTCTGTTGAGAACATCTATGTTTTTTAATCAGATGCAACCCGCAATAACTAGAACTGGAAAAAAGATGGTCACATCAGGCTGGAGAAGCCATGTTGGTTGTTTTGAGGCTGCAGGCAGTGATGCACTGTGCCAACCTAAGGAAATCGATCCAATGCACCTCAAAAGTTCTTGTTTGTTATTGCCCAACTGATGACTGCTCTGATAAAGTTCCCTCCCCAGTCCTGTTTTATGATTTAGGTGGTTCAAACCATTTCGTTGTAGCTATAGTTGTATTTATAAGTGGCTGTTTCCTCACCGTAGGAGGTCCAGTATGTTCCACAGGAAGAACTGCGCACACACCACTGGCTTACTTTGGATCTCCTCCAACATGATGACCATGATCAGCAGAATGTTCTTCTCCATCACCTAAACAAAAGAAAGAAAAAAGGACAGAATGAACCAAAGACTGCATACGGTCAAAAAGAGATTTCATGAGCGGACTGGTGCACACACTTGGATGAAGCGAGGAAGGAGCCGAGCCTTCTCGATCCCATCTGCGATGTGGAAGACCTCCAGGATGGAGAGCAGCTGGCAGAGGCTCATCACAAAGCCCACCGAGTAAAAGGTGTCCGCCAAAGCATCTGCCAAGAACGTCACATGCAATTCACCCAGAGAAAAACCGTCCTACACTGATTAGGTATTAGGTTAGTACCCCATTTCAACACCGTTCAGCACAACCTTAAAGGGCTGATAGAATGATTCTATCGGGTATCTGGTCCTTCAGGTCTCTAATAGGGTGTGTAACATTGGTTGGGCTGAAAATGGCATATTAGCTGTTCTATGAGCCCTAATGCAGCCTGGTTAAAAGCCCTAGAATGAAACGACAGGTTTTTCTTCCTCAGACATCCCAAGTCTCCAGGAAGATCCGGGAGTCTCCCTGATATACAGGTGCTGGTCATAAAATTAGAATATCATGAAAAAGTAGATTGATTTCAGTAATTCCATTTAAAAAGTGAAACTTGTATATTATATTCATACATTACATACAAACTCATATATTTCAGATGTTTATTTTGTTTAATTTTGATGATTACAAATGACAACAAATGAAAATCTCAAATTCATCATATCAGAAAATTAGAATATTACTGAAGACCAATAAAAACAAAGGATTTATAGAAATGTTGGCCAACTGAAAAGTATGAACATGAAAAGTATGAGCATGTACAGCACTCAGTATTTAGTTGGGCCTCCTTTGGCCTGTATTACTGCAGCAATGCGGCGTGGCATGGAGTCGATCAGTCTGTGGCACTGCTCAGGTGTTATGATAGCCCAGGTTGCTCTAATAGTGGCTTTTAGCTCTTCTGAATTGTTGGGTCTGGTGTATTGCATCTTCTTCTTCACAATACCCCATAGATTTTCTATGGGGTTAAGGTCAGGAGAGTTTGCTGGCCAATTAAGAACAGGGATACCATGGTCCTTCAACCAGGTACTGGTAGCTTTGGCACTGTGTGCAGGTGCCAAGTCCTGTTGGAAAATGAAATCTGCATCTCCAAAAAGTTGGTCAGCTGCAGGAAGCATGAAGTGCTCTAAAACTTCCTGGTATGTGGCTGCGTTGACCCTGGACCTCAGAAAACACAATGGACCAACACCAGCAGATGACATGGCACCCCAAACCATCACTGACTGTGGAAACTTTACACTGGACTTCAAGCAACGTGGATGAAGTGCCTCTCTTCTTTTCCTCCAGACTCTGGGACCTTGATTTCCAAAGGAAATGCAAAATTTACTTTCATCAGAGAACATGACTTTGGACCACTCACCAGCAGTCCAGTCCTGTTTCTCTTTAGCCCAGGCAAGACGCTTCTGACGCTGTCTGTGGTTCAAGAGTGGCTTGACACAAGGAATGCGACAGCAGAAACCCATGTCTTTCATACGTCTGTGTGTGGTGGTTCTTGAAGCACTCACTCCAGCTGCAGTCCACTCTTTGTGAATCTCCCCCACATTTTTGAAGGGGTTTTGTTTCACAATCCTCTCCAGGGTGCGGTTATCTCTCTTGCTTGTACACTTTTTTCGACCACATCTTTTCCTTCCCTTCGCCTCTCTATTAATGTGCTTGGACACTGAGCTCTGTGAACAGCCAGCCTCTTTAGCGATGACCTTTTGTGTCTTGCCCTCCTTGTGCAAGGTGTCGATGGTCGTCTTTTGGACAACTGTCAAGTCAGCAGTCTTCCCCATGATTGTGTAGCCTATAGAACTAGACTGAAAGACCATTTAAAGGCTTTTGCAGGTGGTTTGAGTTAATTAGCTGATTAGAGTGTGGCACCAGGGGCCATCAATTTTGAACCTTTTCACAATATTCTAATTTTCTGATATGATGAATTTGAGATTTTCATTTGTTGTCATTTGTAATCATCAAAATTAAACAAAATAAACATCTGAAATATATGAGTTTGTATGTAATGTATGAATATAATATACAAGTTTCACTTTTTAAATGGAATTACTGAAATCAATCTACTTTTTCATGATATTCTAATTTTATGACCAGCACCTGTAGATAGTTGTTCATGGATGTCCGCGGTTCGATAAATTATCCTAGATTTTAGGCTATAGGAGGTGGTGTTTTTTTTTTATGCAAGTGAGAGCGAGCAGGCAGTACAATAAGTCGTGCATCACGTGCGGATAAGAACTGCTTTGATTGCGGAGACAACAAGAGAGAGGGGTGTGAGAAGGAGGTTTCTGGTGAATCCTGTGCAGCGTATTTGTTACCACTCAAAGCTGTGCATCATACGAAACGGCTTAGGTTCAATCCTCGAGTAAAACACGAAAATATAGGACTAATTTTACTTTTTTTTTTTTTTTTACTTAAGTTAAAACTATGGAAGTAAATCTGTGTCGCTGGGATTTGAATTAAAAATGCCACTGAAATTTAAATGTTGTATGTTTGTTTTAACTGTTTCAGTGTTAAAATATATTCAGAACACATTTTTGATCTAAAAAAAATTCATTGTCATTATTTCTACACAGATGAAATTTCATTAGTTATTTTCTCTTCAAGCTAAAAATTCACATTACTATTTCAAAGTGATTTATGACTTGGGTGGTTCAAACCATTTCAGTGGCATTTTTAATTCTAATCCCAGCGACACAGATTTTAAGTTAAAATCTGAAATTAAGTTAAAAAAACCAGAACGACCAAACACAGCCTAATTTTCAACAACTATTTCTGGACTAAATCAAGACTTTGAAGAACTGACCAGATTTACCCTAAAAACCAACGTCTAAATTATGTCCAGTGTTTGGGGGGGACCAAACGGTTAGCCAGAGTGAATTATATTCCGTGTAAACCGCCGTTGACTCCGGCCAGATCTGGCCAATCACAATGCAGGAGGGCGGGACTTTACAATGCATATCTGAGCGCATTTCTGCTAGCTTAACCGCAAGATGGCAACAGCAACAGAGAGATGTTTTAGTAATGTCCTTTCTGATGTCTTAAAGCTGGGGATACACTGTACGATTCTTTGCCCTTTTTGGGGCGATTCTCTAGTCGTGCGAGATTTTTTCGATTGGGCCGGGTTTCAGCCTTCTCGTGCAATCTGTCGTGTAGTATACAGGGGGTAACGAGGAGCCATTAGCTTCTCACGACCACCTCCTGATCAGGAATCGTAAGATCGGGAGAAAATCAAACATGCTTGAAATTCAGTCGGCCGTCGTGAGGTGTTCGTGGACAAATCCTGCTGCAGAAGCAGAGCTACGAGCCCATTTGCCAGAACCTCGAGCACTGAGCATGTGCAAAAAAGGGAATTCTTCTTCTTCTTTTTCCAGATTGAGAAGTCCGACCAGCGCCATCTTTCGGCTCTGAGTCCGACGTGTGGTTTTTGGACGTACAGTGTGAGCAGGTAGATCGCATCAGAGCGTCGGGTTGCAAATTTTATGAACATGCGTCGTGAGCTGTGAACTTCTAAACCCTGCGGTTTCATCGTACAGTTTGAGCTGTAGCTGCGTGCAACTGCCCGGCTTAAATGGGATTTATCCAATTTAAAATGCTTAACAACGGAAAGGTTTAGTGGCTTATTTGCTATTGTCGGCTTCACATGTTTCACGCAATCCAATATTTCAAACTCAGAGCACATTGCTTGTAGGTTTTTGTCATATCCATAGTTATCTGGTTCTTACCTGATGATGCTGAATCTGTCGGTCCCGCCTTTGAAATCGAGCTCTACCAGCTCTTTACCAGACTGATATGCTGTATATACGTCAACTGACTGGGAAGGCTAGCTAAATCTTTTTTAGAGTCTCTGAATTGCCCTTAGGTGAGTGTGCATGTCTGTATTTCTGCCCTGCGATGATCTGCCAATCTGTCCAGAGTGTACCTTGCCTTTCAGCCTTAAACTGATGAGCCCCGGTGTTCTGTCAGACCAGCATACCCCATAGTCAATAGTCATGCGCAAGACATCAGATTTGCATTTATCCCTTTAGTTTTGTACAAAAAATAGACCTGAAACTACCTCGATGGGCATGTATCCCTCTAGTCATGTACAAAATAAACAATTTAAGGTAAAATCGCCATACGCCTCATTAAAACACCAAAAAGTAGGTAAGGAAATTGTTTTTTTTTGTGCATGACCAAAGGGATGCACGTCTATTTTTTGCACAAAACTAAAGGGATAAATGGGTATTAACTACCACCGTCCACCGTCACCATGTCGGATAAAATGGATGGAACTATTCGTTTTAATTTACCTTGGCCAAAGGTGAGAAACCTTGCGATGGTGTTAGCCAGGATCCATGTGTGACAGCAGAACTGGAATAAGTTATAGGAGAAAATGTAGACAAGCCTGAAGTTATACCTGCAGGAGAAGAAAGAGTCAGAGATGTTAAATCAGACATAACGACTCATCATGAATTAAACAGCAGAGGTTTCATTTTAGGGCTCTTGGCACCGTAGAGCCGGGCTTTTTTTGGTCTTTAAGAATGAAGCAGAAGGCTGGTTCTAAACAATGCAGTAATGAAGTGATATGGAAGAAATATAGTCAAATTAGACCTTTTTGAAAATATTGTAACTAGAACACTATATTCTATGCAATTATTTATTGGATTTTTTTTCTACTTTATTTTCATCAGCAAGATTTTAATCTGTAAAATGGTTCCAGAAAAATTGTTCTGCAGAAATTCACAGAATAACAAAAAAAAAAAAAAAAACAGTGGCAGAAATTTTAAAGAAATTTATGGAGTGAACTTTGTTCCATTATTGTTGTGAGAGAACAGGTTTTTAAAAAAGAAAAATGCAGTCTAGAAATTAATTTAACAAAAACACTTTAGATTTGGCGTTGAAGTAAAGAATATAATCCGTAAAACATAAAAAAAAAAAAATGCAATAAATAAAACTCAGTTTGAAAAGGAAATGAGAGGAAAACTGAAATATGGAAACTACAATATTAAAAAATATTATATTTTTTTTGTTTTTTTCACATTTCCGTTCATAAAACATGATCTTTTTTTGCAGGCGTCTCTTATTGGACAAAATTCACTCTGTAGAAATTCACCTAAACTAAAACTACATTGCAGAAGTTTGTCGATTCGATTCCTGACCCAGGCTCTTTCTGCCTTCAGGGACTCCGGCTTCCTGCCACAGGACTGTTCCTACATAAATATATTAAATTCCTAAATTCTCCTTAGGTGTGTGAGTGTTTTTTTGTCTCTGCCACTCTTTCCCTCTCCCACTTGACAGGAAGGAGCCAGCAGAACCACGTCAACAGCAAAAAGAAGGGACGGAATCTGCTGCTCCCCAAACCACGCCCCCTTTGATCCTTGGCTGCGCCTAGAAATCCCATCCATGAAGGTTTCTGAAGAGAACCGGTGACAAAGGGCGGATCTATGGTTGAATTCCTTCCATATCCATCATTACTTTCATCTACCATCATCCAGTCAGATTGATTAAAAGTTTTCTATCTTAGGAAAACCAGCTGATTGCATCGACTCATTGACTCTTCAGCAATCCCTCACACTAAGCATGCTTGTAGCGACAGTGGAGAGGAAAAACTCCCTTTGAACAGGAAGAAACCTCCAGCAGAACCAGGCTCAGTGTGAGCGGCCATCTGCTGAGGCCCACTGGGGTTCAAGGAGACAGAAGCAGACATAGAAAAAGAAGCATAGATACCAAAGGCAACTGTCAACCAGCTCCACAGGCGGCCCCGTCCAGGAAACACACAGCCAGGCAGACGAGCTCCGAGCCAGCTCCCATGTCAGAGGATGAAGAGAGCACATCCAGTTAGTCACAGTCAGAGAAACAGGACCACACTGGAAAACAGGCCAAGCTCCAACATCTAGAAACAAAGGTGTTGATGGCAGCAGCACAGCTGATATTTCTCTCCAGGATGGAGTCACAGCCAAACAGGAACAGACCAGATGAAGCTACTATGAGAAAAAGCAGAGAGAGCAGAACGTTAGAGATTGAACTAACAGATTCTGCAGAGTGGGAGAATAGAGATAGAATGAAGCAGAATGATGAAAAGCAGGGAGAGCAGAACGTAGCTCCATATCTCACATGTGAAGCTGTTCGGTAAACTGCTCTGAACCCTCGAACGCCTGCAGAGGCTGTAGAGCTGCTCCATGGCTGAGACAGAGCCCACACTGCTCCTCTGAAACTTTCTCTGATCTTAGTTCAAAATTACTTTGGAAAATTAATCACCAAAGACCTAAAACAAAGATTAATTACTTCGGTCATTTCCCCCCCTAAACACCTTGCATTATTGTCTTCACCAGACCTGAATGGACTGTTTGTTTGTCTTTGTAATACCTGTTCTATCCACCAGAGGGCAAGAACTCTCACTTATCTTGAGGCTTACTGGCTGCGCTGCCTCCTTTGGTGGATTAGAGGTATTACAAAAACAAAGATTTTTTTTTTTCCACTTGCCTTTCAGGGCTTCCATATTATCATTAGTGCGGAGGAGTTTGTCTTTTTCCTGAAGCTTTAAGCCACAGGAGAAAGATGAATAGAACGAGCATGAGGAGATCCGTTCTGCAGAAACGCCTCGAAAATTCTTTAGTCTCCTGGTCCAGTCTGGAACAAGCTGCAGAAAATATGATTGTTTTCCCAGACACAGCCTCCAGAGGAGGCCCCAAACTTTCACCTCCCCTGTTCCACTTCCTGTGCACCAGGATTATACTGTCCCTTCCTGTTTTACTAGTGGGTCTGCCATATTCACTATTTATATATTTAGGAGAGGCTATTACAAAGAAAAGAAAGCAGTGCTGCTTCTTTCGGTTTTATGGTTTCATGTAAACAGACAGAATAAAAAAGGATCTGGTTCTTTATCAAGATCCAACCTCCAAAAAGAACAACTCACATTTTCAATATTTTTTAAACGAAGATGAGCGACGGCTGCTAATTCCCTGTCCTGAAAAAAAAGTCCCTGAAATAACAGAAGCTCCATCCGATTGGTTAAAAATGGGAACTTATCTAAAAGCCAAATAGTATTTATTAACAGTAAAAAAAGGTAACAATGGGACAACTAAAAGTAGAAATTGAAAAGATAGTCACTAATACTGTGTAAAAAAAATGCTAGGCTGAGGGCGTGTTTTGGTGGCGCAGCGTTACCGGCCATGTCCCATGTACGAAGGCCCTAGACCCGGGTTCAAATCCAAAAAACAACAAGCAACTACTGCTGTAGCCCCCCCACCCCCCCAAAAAATAAAAGATTCTAAAAAAAACTCTAGTCCGACTCTGCTTGGACCAAACAAAGTCCTTCAGGGCACAGGACGTGGTGGACATCTACGCAGCACGGCATCATGATTATTTAAGCCAGCGACACAGTGTACGATATTTTAGCTACTATCGTCACAGCTACAGCTCACACTGTACGATGAAACCGCAGGGTTTAAAAGTTTGCAGTTGACGATGTTTGTTCTGTCATGATCTGGCCTGTTTGCTCTCCCTTAATTAGTCATTCCTTTCACCTGTCGTTTTCCCTCCCTGCCTCAATTATCATTTATTCCTCTCACCTGTTTCCTCTGGTTTATATTCAGTTCAGCCTGAGCATTCAGTGCCAGATCATCACTGTTTTTCTGTTAGCCTATCTGTTCGGTTTATTTCTTGGTTCATGTCCTGGATCCTGGCGGCCAGTTGAAAGAGGGTTTTGTGTTTGTCTCGTCTCCTGATCGTCCACTGTTCCTCCCCTGCTGAGTCCTCTGGGTTTTTGGCTCTATATGAGGGGAGGTTCAGTTTTTATCCAAGTAAGCCAGGCTCCAGGGAGGAGACCAGTTTAAAGGTCCTGCATCAAGTTCCGGTTCTACGTCCTGTCTCGGCTACACTCTTCCACTGGGCCTGCTCAGCTGCACCTGATCCTGTCTGCTCCTGTGCGTGACCACCTGGTCATGCTTTCAGACCCTGTCAGACTCTAAACCCTTCTGGGAGCCTGTGGATGCCTGGAAGTCTGGATCCTGCCTCCTCTTTCTGTTCCTGTCTGTTCTGGATCCCTGACCAGGATCGGCTTCCAGAATGTCCTCTGGGACTGCAGCTCTTGGGGACATTCTAGGACTGGACTGTTAAACCAGGTAAGTGGCCAACTCAGATAATCATCTTCTGTCAGATGATCGTGGTCACTTACCCGTGTTTCTCCTGCAGAGTTCTGTGATTGGGCGGTGCCCCGCTCCCATCCTGCAGTGTCTGCGAGCCACAGCTCCACTTTAGTTTTTGTTAATTAATAAACCTTTTTGAACTTTCCTACTGACTGTCTCTCCTTGAATACTGGGTCCATCTGTCCGCGTTTCATGACATGTTCTCACACTGTGCGACCTGACGCTCTGATGCTATCTACCTGCTCGCATTGAACATCCAAAAACCACGCGTCGGACTGATCACCAGGAGATGGCGCTGGTCGGACTCGTCAATCTGGTAGAAGAAGAAGAACTCCCTTGTTTGCACATGCGATGTTCTGGTAAATCGGCTCGTAGTTCTGCTTCAAAGCAGGATTTGCCGACGACGACCTCACAACGGCTGACTGAATTTCAGCCATGTTTGATTTTTTCTCCAGACTAGAGATGTCCCGATCCAGGTTTTTGCACTTCCGATCCGATACCGATATTATTTTTGGATTTCTGATCGGATACCGATACTGGCCGATACCAGCCTATCCGAGCATGTATTTAAGTTTAAGTTAAAGTATTTAGCCTTAGTTGTAAGACTCATGTTGAAAAGGGTTTTAGTACTCTTGATAACATCTAGCCAGCTGAATTAGGTGAGATTGAATAAAACACAATGATTGGTAACAACAAATTTACCTGTTTATTAAGAGATAAACACAAACTGGACAAAATTACAAATAGCAATCTGAAATTGCACAGTGAACAGTAAAACCGTAAACAGTTAAAGGTGCAAGTATTACTGTAAGTTTTAATAAAAATGCAAAACAGGGGAACACTGGCGCAAAATAGTGGAATGGATCGTTTCAATCGGCGAAACTGGAAAATACGGACCGGAGTTTATTTTAAAAAACTGGATCGGCAGTCTGGATCGGCATTTTACATGCTTTGCCAATACGCATTTTTTTGCCAATATCGGCGTCCCGATCCGATACGTGGATCGGATCGGGACAAGCCTACTCCAGACCTTACGATTCCTGATGGGGAGGCGGTCGTGAGAAGCTGATCGCCCCTCGTTACCCTCCTGTGTAATACACGACGCACCATGAGACTGAAACTCGGCCTGATTGAAAAATTCTCGAACAACTAGAGAATCGGCCCGAAAAAGGACAAAAAAATCGTACAGTGTATACCCGGCTTTAAACCTGTAAAACCCAAATAAAAATTAAAGCCACAAGTGGCATTGGGCGGCCCTCGCAGCTCGCACCGCCTGGTATGTCGCGACCGCGGGAACCAAGCGATCGCCGGCTCCACG